CTTCTTTAAGTATACTGTTGCGCAACTAAATTCATAACATGTGAAGCTAACGCCGGAAATAATTGGACGAAGCATAGTTTACGAAGGGGAAGAACAACTTCCAGTCCTATATCAAACTTAAAAAGATGAAAGACGAGGCTTAAAATCGAACGTTTTTCATTAAATTTGCGTCTTTGCCATAGGAAAATGTTAAAGTCAACGAAATCTGTCATTGCAGTCGCAGATATCTGAACTCCTAGTGATCATGAGGAGTCGCTGCAACAAAATATAAAAGACAGCATACTGCCAAACGGCCACACTGCGTCAGTGAGCTAAAGCTAAAGTATCTTAACAGTTATATTCTTCAACCCACTGTAAATCCATTTACAATAAATTGTTATTGCATTACTTCTTTGGTCTGATTGATTCAAAATGTGTACATTTCTTGCATCTTGGTTTTAAAAATTCGAAAATAAAATTGCATCAAACCATCTTCAGTATTGGATATATTTGCCGACAATTCAATTTAGAACTGTACGGCTTACGAGATGTCATTCACCCAGAAATGGGGGCGTATCTATCATATCTATTATCAAACTACTTAAGTTAAAAATTTGATTGTTGGACATTATACGAAAAAAGTTCGTATGACTTTCCACGACATATGCAAGTAAACACATTGTTTACAACACCTGGTTTTTCAATGAGCATTAGACTAGGTCCAGGCTTTTTCTTACGTTACAGTCATCTGAACTAATTGGCTGGAGAAGAATAATGCTAGACCTCGTAATGCTAGAAGAATGTCAGATATATAAAAAAAACTTGAAAATCAATCTGAACTTAACTTATCGACTTTAACTTTAGATTTTGTCAATGGTGAGGAAACTGGTTTCAGAGACATCCACTTCTGAAAAGTTTCTTCATTCTTGGTTCTCAAAGTATCATCTTTGATAATTTCTTAAATTCCACAGGCATCTTCCTCACCACTCCTAGGAGAAATATATCCGATACGGAAGCAACGTGCAGCCTCCAGGAAGGAAGATTTTTGTTGAGTATTTCTTATCCCGACCCAAATTCGAATCTGGAATTTCAAAGTCGTTGAACTCCGAGCATATAATTAATGGATTTTAACGCTCGGTTCAAGATATGATGCCACTGGATGAAGGAAATAAATTTTCTTGTATGCATTGTCTCTGGACTCTCTTTTTTTAAATGAATGGAAAATTCCCGATGATTGAGCTTGTACGAACTATCCGGGCTCTTAATTTTTTCTGTTTCTATTTCAGATGATTCCGATAAGTCAGACAAGTATTTCACATACATTTCCAAATCTGAATCTGGAAAGTGATCATTTGATATTAGCAATGTGTACATCTAGCTCACGGATTTCGGGCATATTTTAATACAAAGTAAGAAGGTCCGGTCATGATGTTGCTAAGATTCAGTATTGAGGGGACACAAAGGACATAACTGGGCGCAAAGGACATAGAGAGGACTTTGTTGAAGTCCAACATTCTCATATAGATCACCACGAGTCCACGCACATTTACTATTATATCCGGGCAAATGAGAAATAGCATGTCATAACAGGATATACCTTCTGGAAGAAATGAAAAATAACGTTAGTGTGTAGGATATTCAGGGCAATCAAATTAAATCTTACAAACTCTTTCCATCGCATGAGTCAGAACCGACTTAAGCTGTCTAACGCACTTGCAACAGACTAGCCCAAATTCTGCAAGAAAAGTATGCACAATACAGCTGGTACAGTTTGGATCAGTTTATTCAACTATTGGTCATTTGTTGTTGTCAGAAATAAAAAAAAAACTAATCTTACCATGTTGAAGGAAAGAAAATAGTGATTCCTCCTGAATGCACAAATTTACATTGAACTGAGCAGAGGAAATCAAAGCACATGATCAGAGTTATTCAGATCTAAGACAAATCCAAAACATGCATGTCCATGAGAAAAAAGTGCAGAAAGCCATTACATTCCAGCTAGACAAATCCCAATTTTCTTAGAGTTTTCTAATTATAGCTGCAGAGTAGTGTTTCCATATCCTTGTCTCTTTCCACACTTGAATTATCTCGCATGATTTCCACATCCTCTCGGTCCGTTTGAGTTGTTCCTGGGTTCGGTCAAATATCTATGTCAATCGAAACCTACTATATAATCTTCCTGAAAAGCATAACATGATATATATACATATGTGTTGTAATCCTCTTCTCCAATCCATCAGAAACACAATATGCAGGATTATCGTGTTCTCCCGATGCACTCTCTGCGGCTAATTCGTCTAATTCTACCGTAAACGTCGCATCTCTCCACTGTCAAGGATTTGACATTCATAACCAGGAAAGTACTAATAGTGGTGGTGGTGCATTGATGACCCAGCCATCTCTTTTAGACTACTTGAAATCCTAGTGGTAGCGGCGGTGCTTTAGTCTTGTTTAGAGTATATATATAGAAAGTATTGAGACATTGTTACATTGTTACATTGTTAGTGATTACTTGTGGTACACAACAAGGTACAAGCATGTGAAAATCTGTAACCTTCGAAAGAAGATTGATCGAGAGGAACAGAAGACGTTTGCTATTGTAACGACTAGTGGGATATGGTTTATTTACAAGTGAAGGATGAGTGTTGAAGTGTGTATATGGCACATGCTGGAATTGGGCAGGTTCCAAGTGTCCAAGGAAGATATCAAGACGCCACAAGGTTGAAAGGAGGACGTACGTCTTGTTCTAGGGGATGTGAGGGATGCTCTACACGTATCTGTTAACGGCGAACTCTCTGGTTAGTCTCTGCGTGAGTTGTTTTTATGTTCATTTGAGAGTATACAAGAAACATACCGTAAGGAAGACCACTCTCTCCTGCGTGGCTTTCTCGACTGCAGGTAGTCTTTCTGGATCGTGGTTCAGCTTAAATCACAGCATCACATTGAAGGATGGCGTTAATGGAATTGCTCTACTATGCATGACAATTGGTATACAGGTACTCAATGACCTCTATAAATTTGTGCTTCTAGGCAATGCCTGAGTGACTTTGATTCAGTAAGTCTGATATATGTCTTCATGACGTTTTTATTGCATGTAGTCAAGACTAAAGTTGCTATTTTCCGCAATTCAATTAACGACCTCCATTTCGAGTTCAGTCTGAAGTGGACCCTCGTAAACTGATTCGTCGTTTGAATTCCGGTTTTAAGAATTCGATGAGCAGATTTATGTTAGATTCCATCTTCTCGTTATCTACTGTTAGATGATCTCACTCAATACGCGACCAACTGACATCAATCTATCCTGATTTGACCTTTTTTTCCTATCACGAGCATATGGAGATCGTCAATTGTCTTCAGTATTAAGAAATAGGGGAGGTTGTTTGCACACGTGAAGTTAATTTTCTGTCGTCTATGTTGCAATTAGAATTACGGAGCATTTCTGGAGAAAGATGGTGTAGGTATTAAGTGAAAGGTACAAGTGACAGGGCTCGGTTCTGAAGTTCTCGATCTCACCACGTCTGAATAGGTGTACCAGGTGGTTACAAATCTGGACCTTGAACTGTTCGTAGGCAGAGAACGTATGAGTCATTTTCTTATCTTTTGCTGTTGTATATATCTAGTCCTAGCGTTGCCCACTGGTGATATTGCAAACGGCTGCTAACCACTTTCTAGTAACTAAAAGCTATAGGCTCCACTGAAACTTTAAAGGCGAGTGGTCGACACGAAGATGATTGTTCCAACAAAGATATTTACTCTTCTTGATACAGATGGAAAACTGTACTCATCTGTAAGTGCTTGTTATAGCCTTCAGACTGTAAATACAATTCTGCGTTTTCTGAAAACTGGGATTCAACTCATCTAAGACTTCTATCTGATATGTGGCCTTTCTGTCTTCTCTAGGTGGGTCTGAAAGGAGAAGACCTTCAGTTTTTCTTTGATTCAGGTCCTCAGAAAGGCTCATGGGTTCCGGCAACCGGAGGCCCTTCCGATAAACCTCTGGTTTGGTACAAGGTACGGATATGTAGCTCTCGCTGCCGTTCAAGTCTACTATGGCCTTCGTGGACGATTTTTTTCAGACTCTTGGAGGGAGCATAATCTCGCATTGCAGCAATTGGAAGGTTCCTGTTGTGTTCTCGTACGAAGAAAAGCTGTGCAGAAAGAACCAATATTTTTTCTACAAGTAAAAGTCAAAAGCTTGTGGAGAAGAGCCTGTGGCCTTGGATTTGGCTAGTATGGGAAAGGGTCAGGTTTGGGTCAATGGGCACCATCTCGGCAGATACTGGCCCCATCTTGCCCCGCAAGAAGGATGCAGTGGTTGTGATTTCCGTGGTCCTTATAATGCCCATAAATGTGTTACTGGCTGTGGAGAACCCTCCCAACGCTGGCAAGTTTTTCTTTGTCATTTTAAAATTTACCTTTATCTTACCGTTTCAACATATCAACAGCATCAATGTGAGAAACAGTTGCATGTCTAAGCTTGTCTAGAAAGCTTCAGTGGGTTGTATCCAAATAGCATAGCTGGTACTTTCTTCTGGTTCCAAATCCTCGGGCTCCAGGTATCACGTCCCTCGGGCATGGCTGCAAGCGGACGAAAATACTCTGGTACTGTTTGAGGAAGTAGGAGGAAATCCTTCTTTAATATCCATTGCAACCCGCTCTCCGAATACAGTATGTGCTCATGTTTCAGACTCTCATCCGCCTCTTGTGGACAAATGGGTTACTTCGAGTAGCTCCTTTGATGCTCAGTCACAGAGGGCACTGGTTCCACATGTACGACTTGAATGTGCTGTTCATCAGCAAATATCTCATATTGTCTTCGCCAGCTTTGGAAGCTCATCTGGGACCTGTGGCAGCTACTCTGAAGGAGATTGTCATGCTTCGAGTTCTCGTGCTGTGGTAGAAAAGGTAAGCTTCATTTGCCTGAAAGTTACTTCATCTCATTTGATTTGCTTCCTAATACACGCAGTATTTTATGGGTATTGTGTGTCTTGTGAGTAACTAACATTGGTTCTGTTTAACAGGCCTGCTTGGGCAACACATTCTGCTCACTCGATGTATCACTGAGTTTGGAGAGGACCCATGCCCTCTAGTGGCTAAAACGTTAACAGTCCAGGCCCTGTGGATAGGTCCCAGCGAGTTGACGAATGAGAATCTCAGTGATGACGATATCGCTGTACCTCTGGGTATGTATGACCGTAAATGGCAACGCTATGAGGTTATAAACCAGAGAACGCAACAGACTCAAAGTTCCCTGTCAGACATTTGACACACTGCTCGATAAAACTGAGGCCTGTTTTCGAGACTGCCAGCTGATCAAGTCTAGGTTTCCCCTTTCCTTTCATCCGTTAAATAGGACGAATTAGTCTTCAGGTGGGAAGTTTGATATATGATGAGGCAACGGAGCCCACCGTAGAAGCATTTTGCTTCGTAGTATATCTTCAGCCTTTATTTGATTAGTGAGGAGCTTCGAAATGCTTCTAGAGTCTCGTTTGTATATTATATGGTAAAAAATATAACAGCCGGATTCCCGATGTTACTTTCACCGAGGGCCACTTTTTTAGTAGAAGTATGTCAAAGAAAGCCTGTAGGTTGAACGACGATCGAAAATATGACCACTTGAGTGATAAACTTGCATTTCCGTCATTCGATACTAAGAACTACAGGCTGGTGATAGCCGCTATGTACTATCGCTGGCCCTTCCGACATCATTGCCAGAATTATTCACTTGTATCTACCCATGAGTGCCAGCTGTCACGCAAATCTATTGAACTCAGTTTTGAGGCCCCAGTGTACGAAAACATGAAATTTGAATGGTAGGATTGGTGTATCTACAACTGCAGTCATGAGCATTCTGGTAGAGGTCCCCTAGTCGGTCCGTAGGATTGTAAACCGATAAGTTGAGAGACCGTATTCAACCTCTTGACGGGATCATTTGACGTTGCTCTCATGACCAGTTGACGAATTTCCAGCGACAATGCCAGGGTCTTATCGTCAGCCTGTCAAATGTATGTCTGGAATGCATTTGGCACCCCCTGTCAATGTAGAAATGAGGATGCTCCCACTTCTGGCACGCACGAAAACGACCTTGCTCTCTCATATAATCTGTTATTTGTGAGGCTGTAATCCCCGGACGTACTGCCTACGTAGACACACACCTGTAGCTTATTATACATGAGTATACTTTCCGCTATGAAAGGCCTACGATCTATAATGATCTAGACGCTGAAGTTCCAGTCCAATGTCTTTCCGAGAGTAGAAAATACGCCTTGAATAAATCTGGGCATCTAGGCGTGTGTATTCAATTGATTTCTAGAGCAGAGCATCAGGATTCGAGGGTCTGACGGGAGGCGAGTTTGTTGCTGTGTATGTGGCCTGAAAGACTTGTAGAGTCTAGGACACGTGAAGAGCTCAATGGCGGGCTTTTGCGCAAGCATTGTCCTGCTGTACACGGACGACATACGGTGATGTCCTTTGCAGTGCGAGTACAGTACAGTACCCGATTCATGCTGCAGCTTTGCTGAAAGCGCGACGTCGCAATAATGGTCGCGGAGATCAAGGCGAGAGTTGATCACTCGTGTTGACATAGGACTCGAAAGAGGACTTTCACTGACTACCATAGTCTCGTGAGCCCAACGTCGTAGCCTCAATCATAGCGGCATGACTACTCGAAGCTGTAAGACAAAGTTTTGGTCTGACGCACTCTGACCCCTTCAGGACGAGCAGCTGGTCCTCCGATGCCTCCAGACAAGTTGCGTACATCGACAACTGACACTTGTGCACTCGTATTAAAAGCGAGATTCCCCGACGGCATATTTCTTCACACTTCGGAACTTCGGCGTTACAACATTCCTGGATCCAGCCTGCAGCTCAAACATCTACTTCACCATTCATTATGTGAACCTCCAGTCAGATTTTCTCGGCCATGAACGGGCGTTATTGTACACAGAAGAAGAAGAACATCGTCATCGCCATCGACCGGCATTCATGGAGCGGAGAATCCCATGATCGCACTCAGGACTCCCGTTGTTTGCACTTCCGATGGTAGCCAAAAACCTCATTGGCCATTACAAAATATATCAATCCTTCATGTAGCCCATTGTGCACCTTGTATATTCTTCGGCTCGCCACAATAGATAGCCTCGATTAGCTAGTGAAGAGCCAATCGATGCTTCCCTGTTGCACATGTCCAACTTACCGGTTTTGTACTACCTTTGTATTAGTATCTCGCTAGTTTGCATTTTTGCCAAATTCAACGACCGAATCCAACGCGTTCAGGAAATCGCAACCGTGAACCACGTGGACTCGCTCCAATTTCAACTTCCACTGGCCCGTATTATTCAGGAGCTTGTTCGAGTAGCCGTTTTGACAGCAGGATATATTGTTCAGACTAAACATTATTCCTAGTACAATTATCGTCCATTTACCATTATATAGCCCCACATTTCTTTAGCGATGAAGAAGTGGAAGTGATGTCTAGAGAACGGTCACATGTCCATTCTCTTACCGTCCACAACTTTAGTGGCAAGGGCTATTTACCTTTTCACTGGAAGTTGTAGAGACAGCAGTACAGCCAGGGACTCCAATTCAAACATCTGCAGTCGACTGTTCTTATTCCAGCTACCCGGTCAGGAATGAGCAGTCGTGGCCTGGTGTAAGTTGGCAGCTGGGTGTAAGTTGGCAGAGAGCACTACACACACACACACAAGATAAAAGAACACAGTGCCGGTAATTTTGCAATGAGAATAGGAGTACCCCATCAAGACTTACAAGGAGTAAACCAAAAAGACTAGCCCCAATACGATCGCAATGGCAAATGTTTCTTATTGCACCTGTTACAGATATTCCATAAACATCCCATCATGACCATTCCATACTTTGTTTATATAACTAATTCTCAATTAGTATGGGATAATATCACTCACATCACTACAAACATGTGACTTTTATACTTATAATTATAAGGCTTAGAAATAAAACGTGACATTGGAAACCTTGGTTTCTTGTGCGGTCCTGTACTTGTTGCCCGTCATTTACTATGGAAAATCACATACTCAAAAAGAGTGCAAATCATGTAATCATAACACACCAAACAATAAACTGGTTTTCACGAACCAGGTACGTATGGCTTGACCTGATTCAACCACATAGTATGCCAGCATTCACTCGTGAGAAATATCTAGGCTCCCTTAAGTAGCACACATCATATCTCTAAGGGTCTTATAGATTCATATGTATCATCGGATCATGAGCGAGTGACGGAGATTGATAAGTGGACCAGTCAAGAGCAAAGCCTTATGTCCATATGATAAGTAATGGGAAAACCATTCGCTCACTTCATTGCCTTTCCGTGCTGTCGTGGGAAGAAACTCACTGATTACATCACCAGTCCCATCCTGGATAGCGAACGTCCACGGCAATACAAAATTAGTTGGGTCTGTCAAGGTACCGTTCCAACAACTTCCGTCGTCATGTACTAAACTGGATTAAGGTTAAGGCTTTGAGCTCGTGTCTCCCTGATTCAAGTTGTTGCTTGACCAGACGTTCTCACGCCTGCTAATGCGCAGTTGCACTTGCCCCGGGTAATATGAAGATATGGGTGGTACCAAGCATAGGCCAACGTTTATTTCAAATCTGTACCCAGACCATAACCATCAACAGCGCCTATGTCCACCCTATAGCATTGACTGTTGCCACTCATGCTATTCAAATTACGCCAATTGGGTCATTTGTATTACCGAATTACACCAAGTCTTAGGTTGGATCTGACAAACACTGCCATAGCATTACTTGTGCCCACCCATGGGTATGGGCACCCAATGTTGGGTTTGGTACCCATGTATATTCTACATCAACATAAGTATTTTTCGTATAATATACGCTCTGTGTACTCTTGACAGCCCAAAATGTCAGCCCAATTTACGCGTTGTCAAGGCTGAAGCGTGAAATGGACTAATAAGCCTTGACATTAGTGGAATAAAGTACATTAGCCCATTGTAAACTCCTCGTCCACCTAGGCCTCTATTCCGAACATGTAACTGACAACAACTTGTTTTTTGTTCGCTTTGACCCTGAGTTCTCAACTAGCTCTTCCAAATCTTGATGTAATTAATATAAGTCAGTGCGACAAAGTGCCTCAAATCTCCTTTCCCAAAATCCCGCGCGACAGTTAGAAGAAGAAATGAAATTACAAGATGCAAAGTTGACACTGGGAGAACGGATATTTGTGTTGTGGTTATGGAGGTGTGCTTGGGGGTAGGAACACTGCAGGCTAGAACAACCCCGACCCTATGCAATCCGACGGCTTCTAGAGGGTCCGCGCACGACGGTGGTATGGCATATGGTCGGGGATGATCCAGCGAAAGTGTAGGAACTAGTGGAAGATTTGAAATTTTCGGTGAGTTTCCGTTTGAGAAAATCGAATCTTCAAATTCAAAATGTATCCCAACGTTGTTAAGTTCACGTGTACAGTACATCCCGTGACGTCATGAATGCGCTACATCCAAAGAGGCTCCGCAAGCTCCGCAGCTTTCTAAGGAGAGTAGGCCGCGGGCGAGCGGATCGGCACCAAAGAGGTTCCGCAAGCTCCGCAGCTTTCCAAGGAGAGTAGGCCGCGGGCGAGCGGATCGGCACCGCCGATCCGCTCTAAGGGCTCCTCACTCGCTTCTCGAAGGCGAGCTCTGCCCGACCTTCCGCTTTAGTTCGCCCCGCTCCGGCTCGACCATCTCATATCCTCGCTCGCTTCTTCTCCCGTTGCTCGAACCACAGCTCTTCTTCTCCGTCGTGTGCTCCGCTCGACCATCAAATAAGACAGTTCCTTCTGTTCAAATTAAATGTATCCCATCGTTGTTAAGTTCACGTGTACAGTACATCCCGTGACGTCATGAATGCGCTACATCCAAAGAGGCTCCGCAAGCTCCGCAGCTTTCTAAGGAGAGTAGGCCGCGGGCGAGCGGATCGGCACCGCCGATCCGCTCTAAGGGCTCCTCACTCGCTTCTCGAAGGCGAGCTCTGCCCGACCTTCCGCTTTAGTTCGCTCCGCTCCGGCTCGACCATCTCATATCCTCGCTCGCTTCTTCTCCCGTTGCTCGAACCACAGCTCTTCTTCTCCGTCGTGTGCTCCGCTCGACCATCTCATTTGCTCGCTCGCTTCTTCTCCCGTTGCTCGAACCACAGCTCTTCTTCTCCGTCGTGTGCTCCCGCTCGACCTTCTCATATGCTCGCTCGATTCTTCCCCCGTTGCTCGAACCATTGCTTTTCTTCCCCCTCGTTTGCTCGCTCAGACGCGCGTCTACCCCTCTAATCAGTCTTTTTTCCCGTAGTTCCCTCGGCTGGTCCGGTCTGTTACCCCACTCCGGCTGGTGCGCTTGAGGACCTTCGTTGTGAATTGACTGAGAGTAGCTTCTTCGGCCTGCCTGATCTGTACGCGCACTTCAGCTGGTGCGATTGAGGTTTGCTCATTAAGGCCAAAGAGAGGGTAGTAGTCTGCCTTCCGCGGCGAGGTTGGGGATTTGGATGAGAGTAAGTCCTGCGGACGGTCTGGTCTGTTCGCGCACACCAGCTGGTGCGCGAGGTGCTTTCTCTTGCATTTCAAAGCAACGGCAGTGGTGGGGGAAGATGTCGATGTCGGTCATGGCCCGGAGGCTCGGGGGAGTCACACCCCGACGTGATACAGAGGATATAGAGCTTGGTTCGGCCGAACCGACCGAACCAAAGTCGGCTTCGTCGCCTTTCATTACTGTCGTCCTGCTGCTGGTGGTACGCCTTCGACCTCTGCTTGTGCATTTTCTTTCTCCGGATTTTTGCGATCGAGCACTTCTTACTGATTGTGATTTTGTGGTTTTGTGTCAATCTCAGGGGATTATCCTCATCACAAGTTACTCAAATTACACACCCGGTAAGTGCTAGCGCTCGGCTCAGTGATTGTTATTGTGCTCGGCTCGGTAATTGTGATGGCTCGGCTCGCTGAACATCGCTCTTATTTCTGCAGGTTCTGGAAATGTACACATCTCCACAGATGACGATGATGATGATGCAGCCAACCGAGTAGAATGTCCGATCAATGTGTGTGGAGCGATACCCATACTTAAACAGCTCTATGGGGAAATAATGGGTCGCTCGCTGCATATGGGTCCGGAGAGCTGCGGAGTTGTGTCCAAGCTTCGCGAAGAAGGCAACGAGGTGTGGGGCATTCAACCCCACACCTACGTAATGCACGGGCCCCTGCACATTATGTGCAGAGAGCTCATAAAGAAAGGTGTTGTCCGTATTGGGGATCCTTCTAGGATTCCCTATCGGGCGAAATCATTCTCGTTTGTGCTAGTAACTGGCACCCTGGAGCCGATGAACTCAAAAGAGCTGAATCAAACTCTGCGCTATTTGGCTCGTATTACCACCCACAGGCTGGTGGTGATAGTAGGTAAGTGATAGCGTTCCTGTCGCTCGCTCCTTCGCAGTCCAGCTGTAGTGAAGAAGTCTCGGAAATCTCACGACCAGCCGCCATGGCTTTTGATGTGTGAACAGGAGACGGAGGAGACGGAGCAGGAAGGGCAAATGTCGCCGGCAAAGTCCAGAAAACAGTGAGTCACCATGGACTTGCCACCATCTTCGTTTCCGTCGTCCGTTAGGGTCAGAGGCGGCTCGTCTGACCCTAATATGACTATTGTGGACTCGACCTTGGATTGGGAAGATTCGGAAGTTGGTAGTCGCTGACGAATTTCTTCTTGTTTGCAGCCCAAGCCTCGTAGCAGGAGTTGGTGGCAACGGCGATTGCAGGGTGTTGGATTGGAGGAAGATGAGGACCTCGCAAGGAGGTTTCAAACTCTTCAAGCCGCGACGACGTTCAAAACGTCCTCCAACATATTCCACCTGCGCGTTCCCCATAGCGAACAGCATTAAATCCATCATCAACAACCAATGGATGGAGTATGTCTTTCTCCAACATCCATCCCCCTGCTCCTTTGCGTAGTTTTTCTGGTAGTTGATCTTCATCCGTATTTGCCTTTTTGCTTCTCCCTTGTGTTCGTTACTAGATTCATCAAAATTGAATCCAAGTTTCCTCGGATTTTCTGGTGGATTTCTCATCATGGATTTTTTTGACTGGGCTGGTTATGGACAGATTCATATTGTGGATTCGAGGCGATTCCAAACGAGCGGTTACCGCGGGCATCGATCGACCACCAGCATTTACGAGAGGGTCATTTTTTTTTGACCCTCCTGTACATTGTAGTAGTAGTTGTGGCGAGTAGTAGTAGTTGATACAAGTGTCAAAATTGTGAGATATTGTCAAAATGAAGATTTTAGCAAATTGTTCCATATCGGTCTTCATGTACATTGTACTCAATGCAATATAGTTTAATCATATTTACACACTGTAAATATGATTATTTTTACCACAAATAAGACAGTTCCTTCTGTTCAAATTCAAAATGTATCCCATCGTTGTTAAGTTCACGTGTACAGTACATCCCGTGACGTCATGAATGCGCTACATCCAAAGAGGCTCCGCAAGCTCCGCAGCTTTCCAAGGAGAGTAGGCCGCGGGCGAGCGGATCGGCACCGCCGATCCGCTCTAAGGGCTCCTCACTCGCTTCTCGAAGGCGAGCTCTGCCCGACCTTCCGCTTTAGTTCGCCCCGCTCCGGCTCGACCATCTCATTTCCTCGCTCGATTCTTCTCCCGCTGCTCGAACCACTGCTCTTCTTCTCCGTCGTGTGCTCCGCTCGACCATCAAATAAGACAGTTCCTTCTGTTCAAATTCAAAATGTATCCCATCGTTGTTAAGTTCACGTGTACAGTACATCCCGTGACGTCATGAATGCGCTACATCCAAAGAGGCTCCGCAAGCTCCGCAGCTTTCCAAGGAGAGTAGGCCGCGGGCGAGCGGATCGGCACCGCCGATCCGCTCTAAGGGCTCCTCACTCGCTTCTCGAAGGCGAGCTCTGCCCGACCTTCCGCTTTAGTTCGCCCCGCTCCGGCTCGACCATCTCATTTCCTCGCTCGATTCTTCTCCCGCTGCTCGAACCACTGCTCTTCTTCTCCGTCGTGTGCTCCGCTCGACCATCAAATAAGACAGTTCCTTCTGTTCAAATTCAAAATGTATCCCATCGTTGTTAAGTTCACGTGTACAGTACATCCCGTGACGTCATGAATGCGCTACATCCAAAGAGGCTCCGCAAGCTCCGCAGCTTTCCAAGGAGAGTAGGCCGCGGGCGAGCGGATCGGCACCGCCGATCCGCTCTAAGGGCTCCTCACTCGCTTCTCGAAGGCGAGCTCTGCCCGACCTTCCGCTTTAGTTCGCCCCGCTCCGGCTCGACCATCTCATTTCCTCGCTCGATTCTTCTCCCGCTGCTCGAACCACTGCTCTTCTTCTCCGTCGTGTGCTCCGCTCGACCATCAAATAAGACAGTTCCTTCTGTTCAAATTCAAAATGTATCCCATCGTTGTTAAGTTCACGTGTACAGTACATCCCGTGACGTCATGAATGCGCTACATCCAAAGAGGCTCCGCAAGCTCCGCAGCTTTCCAAGGAGAGTAGGCCGCGGGCGAGCGGATCGGCACCGCCGATCCGCTCTAAGGGCTCCTCACTCGCTTCTCGAAGGCGAGCTCTGCCCGACCTTCCGCTTTAGTTCGCCCCGCTCCGGCTCGACCATCTCATTTCCTCGCTCGATTCTTCTCCCGCTGCTCGAACCACTGCTCTTCTTCTCCGTCGTGTGCTCCGCTCGACCATCAAATAAGACAGTTCCTTCTGTTCAAATTCAAAATGTATCCCATCGTTGTTAAGTTCACGTGTACAGTACATCCCGTGACGTCATGAATGCGCTACATCCAAAGAGGCTCCGCAAGCTCCGCAGCTTTCCAAGGAGAGTAGGCCGCGGGCGAGCGGATCGGCACCGCCGATCCGCTCTAAGGGCTCCTCACTCGCTTCTCGAAGGCGAGCTCTGCCCGACCTTCCGCTTTAGTTCGCCCCGCTCCGGCTCGACCATCTCATTTCCTCGCTCGATTCTTCTCCCGCTGCTCGAACCACTGCTCTTCTTCTCCGTCGTGTGCTCCGCTCGACCATCAAATAAGACAGTTCCTTCTGTTCAAATTAAATGTATCCCATCGTTGTTAAGTTCACGTGTACAGTACATCCCGTGACGTCATGAATGCGCTACATCCAAAGAGGCTCCGCAAGCTCCGCAGCTTTCTAAGGAGAGTAGGCCGCGGGCGAGCGGATCGGCACCGCCGATCCGCTCTAAGGGCTCCTCACTCGCTTCTCGAAGGCGAGCTCTGCCCGACCTTCCGCTTTAGTTCGCCCCGCTCCGGCTCGACCATCTCATTTCCTCGCTCGCTTCTTCTCCCGTTGCTCGAACCACAGCTCTTCTTCTCCGTCGTGTGCTCCGCTCGACCATCTCGTTTGCTCGCTCGATTCTTCCCCCGTTGCTCGAACCACAGCTCTTCTTCTCCGTCGTGTGCTCCCGCTCGACCTTCTCATATGCTCGCTCGATTCTTCCCCCGTTGCTCGAACCATTGCTTTTCTTCCCCCTCGTTTGCTCGCTCAGACGCGCGTCTACCCCTCTAATCAGTCTTTTTTCCCGTAGTTCCCTCGGCTGGTCCGGTCTGTTACCCCACTCCGGCTGGTGCGCTTGAGGACCTTCGTTGTGAATTGACTGAGAGTAGCTTCTTCGGCCTGCCTGATCTGTACGCGCACTTCAGCTGGTGCGATTGAGGTTTGCTCATTAAGGCCAAAGAGAGGGTAGTAGTCTGCCTTCCGCGGCGAGGTTGGGGTTTTGGATGAGAGTAAGTCCTGCGGCCGGTCTGGTCTGTTCGCGCACACCAGCTGGTGCGCGAGGTGCTTGCTCTTGCATTTCAAAGCAACGGCAGTGGTGGGGGAAGATGTCGATGTCGGTCATGGCCCGGAGGCTCGGGGGAGTCGCACCCCGACGTGATACAGAGGATATAGAGCTTGGTTCGGTCGGTTCGGCCGAACCAAGCTCTACATCCTCTGTATCAGTAGCAGGACGACAGTAATGTAAGGCGACGAAAACGACTTTGGTTCGGTGGGTTCGGCCGAACCAAAGTCGTTTTCGTCGCCTTACATTACTGTCGTCCTGCTGCTGATGGTACGCCTTCGACCTCTGCTTGTGCATTTTCTTTCTCCGGATTTTTGCGATCGAGCACTTCTTACTGATTGTGATTTTGTGGTTTTGTGTCAATCTCAGGGGATTATCCTCATCACAAGTTACTCAAATTACACACCCGGTAAGTGCTAGCGCTCGGCTCAGTGATTGTTATTGTGCTCGGCTCGGTAATTGTGATGGCTCGGCTCGCTGAACATCGCTCTTATTTCTGCAGGTTCTGGAAATGTACACATCTCCACAGATGACGATGATGATGATGCAGCCAACCGAGTAGAATGTCCGATCAATGTGTGTGGAGCGATACCCATACTTAAACAGCTCTATGGGGAAATAATGGGTCGCTCGCTGCATATGGGTCCGGAGAGCTGCGGAGTTGTGTCCAAGCTTCGCGAAGAAGGCAACGAGGTGTGGGGCATTCAACCCCACACCTACGTAATGCATGGGCCCCTGCACACCATGTGCAGAGAGCTCATAAAGAAAGGTGTTGTCCGTATTGGGGATCCTTCTAGGATTCCCTATCGGGCGAAATCATTCTCGTTTGTGCTAGTAACTGGCACCCTGGAGCCGATGAACTCAAAAGAGCTGAATCAAACTCTGCGCTATTTGGCTCGTGTTACCACCCACAGGCTGGTGGTGATAGTAGGTAAGTGATAGCGTTCCTGTCGCTCGCTCCTTCGCAGTCCAGCTGTAGTAAAGAAGTCTCGGAAATCTCACGACCAGCCGCCATGGCTTTTGATGTGTGAACAGGAGACGGAGGAGACGGAGCAGGAAGGGCAAATGTCGCCGGCAAAGTCCAGAAAACAGTGAGTCACCATGGACTTGCCACCATCTTCGTTTCCGTCGTCCGTTAGGGTCAGAGGCGGCTCGTCTGACCCTAATATGACTATTGTGGACTCGACCTTGGATTGGGAAGATTCGGAAGTTGGTAGTCGCTGACGAATTTCTTCTTGTTTGCAGCCCAAGCCTCGTAGCAGGAGTTGGTGGCAACGGCGATTGCAGGGTGTTGGATTGGAGGAAGATGAGGACCTCGCAAGGAGGTTTCAAACTCTTCAAGCCGCGACGACGTTCAAAACGTCCTCCAACATATTCCACCTGCGCGTTCCCCATAGCGAACAGCATTAAATCCATCATCAACAACCAATGGATGGAGTATGTCTTTCTCCAACATCCATCCCCCTGCTCCTTTGCGTAGTTTTTCTGGTAGTTGATCTTCATCCGTATTTGCTTTTTTGCTTCTCCCTTGTGTTCGTTACTAGATTCATCAAAATTGAATCCAAGTTTCCTCGGATTTTCTGGTGGATTTCTCATCATGGATTTTTTTGACTGGGCTGGTTATGGACAGATTCATATTGTGGATTCGAGGCGATTCCAAACGAGCGGTTACCGCGGGCATCGATCGACCACCAGCATTTACGAGAGGGTCATTTTTTTTTGACCCTCCTGTACATTGTAGTAGTAGTTGTGGCGAGTAGTAGTAGTTGATACAAGTGTCAAAATTGTGAGATATTGTCAAAATGAAGATTTTAGCAAATTGTTCCATATCAGTCTTCATGTACATTGTACTCAATGCAATATAATTTAATCATATTTACACACTGTAAATATGATTATTTTTACCACATAGTAGACAGTCCCTTCTGTTCTGGAGATAATAATGAATATATTTGACTATATCAATTTTAAACTAACCACATACTTTTTCCATCGACAAATATTAGCGAAATCCGTCCGCTATTTCTCGCCAATTACATTCCAAGTTGAACATGTGATTTTCTTCATTTCTCTTCCAATTGGAGACCTTCAACAATGTGTGCTTCACGGCGCTGTACAAGCTTCGTGGCAATAAAAACTCAAGTTGATTTGTTCCAAATTGATAAGAAGACTAAAGCAGTAACATATTTTCATCGGCCTCCGAAAGATATATGATATGTATACTCCATCTTTCACAGCTTCACGAAGAGGTTACGAGAAGTTAATGCAAGTAGTAGCACGTAGAAGTCGGCAGATTTTGTGGTGTCACGACTCAAGCGAGGGAGCTGGCCGTCGACGTCAGTAGCGATGCGGCGAAATCAAGGTCGAAGTTCACCGAGGGTTTATCTCCGATGCAGGGGAAGACTGCATCAGCAGCAGAGAAGTCTTCGTCTTCCGTGTACCTGAAACAAGAGCGGTACATGATTCGACCTCTCAATTGGAGTAAAAACAAAAACCTCAGAAGCTGGATCACTCAGTCGACGGACGAATGTTCCATTGTCTCTCCTGTCCGTGATGTCAACGAGAATATGTCTATGCATCACTTACCCGCTTTTCGTAACGATGCATTTCATCCCGGCAGCTTTGGCAGCAGTCAGCCCGATATGACTGTCTTCAATCACGACACATCTGCAGACGTCCAGCATACTTGATCAGAAGATGCCCACGCAGAATAGGTGAATCTTTCTGATCAGAATTGCAAAGTTACTGCAGTCCACTTTCAGGCACTACGTCAGATAATGCCCTGGAATTTTACAGACTAGTGGACGTCTGAATCGTGAGAAATCTCTACTCCTCCGTGTCCCGTGGTCAAGATGTTCACGGACTTACTTCTCTGCGGAGACTCCAAGGGTTCTCGCGGCCAGTTGGTAGATTGCCTGGAACAGTCCAACGAGATAAATTTAGGTAGGTCCTCAGAACTCGTTTTGACATTGGAGTTCATGTAATCAACTGATACACGTCGGCAGCCTTACTGGATCAGGCTTCTTGCGAGGAACAATGTCTCCGGCAAAGATACGGATCTTTGCAGCCCTATCCTCACCGAGCATCACTCGCACTATGGCTGAAACCTGCCAAAAAACATGCACCTTCCGCGAATTAGAGCCATCTTCTACACCAACTTCCCCATCTTATAATACTTTCTGCACAGGCATTCGACATGCTTCTAGTTGTCTGAGGAAATTACAACTGGAAGAAGATTATAACTGTCTACTATGTCACCTCCTCTATTTATACTAAGGAAACTAGAGAAAAATTTCTGACAATGCATTTTGTCATTCGGACTGGGCAGCGTTGACTACCGCTTTCTCGTTAGATGTGCTGCAGACGGCGACACTGACACCACTGTCCAAGGCTTGATCGATGAGGCTGCAAGGTTAAAAGAAGGTGCACAGCAAGGATGAGCACTTTGCCAAGTGTGAGCACAACTGCATTAGCATTCATAATCACCACTACTCCCTGCCGCAGACCTCGACGATCACATCGATCTTCCTTAAATCAGTCACAAATTCGCTTCGGTGGTTTTGTAGATAGTGCAAAACACAACTCATTGTAGGGTGTCGCAGAGCTGAGCACCTGGCCACACCAGGTCGGAGAGGAAGAGACCCTTGGTCGACAAGCTCCATAAACAGATCTGTCTTGCGCTTGTGAAGACCGGCAATGAAGTCCTTTCTTGCCACTTCTCTGGTGGGAGCAGTCTCTGGCCATCCAACCTTATTGTAGTAGTGTGTCATTCTGCATAAAAAGAAGCTTCAACTAACGATCAATGAACAAGTTGGACAAGCAAAGGCGGCTACGCAGGATCTAGTGAGACAGACTCAGTTAGCCTTGAATGAGCTCTACATCCTTCCATGCTTACTACCTATCCGACACATTCAGTCGGTGTTATTGTGATCTATCAGTTAGGCATCCTGTATTCTAGTCGAATAAACGCAGGAGTGGACGACAACCTACCCAAGGATGTTAGGTGATCAAGGTCCGAGCAGTACCGTTCTTTGCCACCACCGATCTTCAACAACTCGCCGTAAAGCTCAACGTCCCAAACTGTTGGCAGTCCCTTCTGATGACACACAGGAGGCAACCACCTTCAGTGGCAGTCTAGGATTGTTCTATCTCTCTATCCAGTTCATTTATATGGTATTTGCATATCTCCAGAGTCAACAGGTTGGTCCTTTGCTGTGATCAAATTGAAGTCTAACGGACGAGGCAGCAGTCTCTTCACATACGTAAACATCTTTGTAAAAAAACGTACTGAGGTAGCATTCATCGACTGCTAAGACTCCAATGGTTCGGAACAAACTGTCGTTCAGCTGATCATCGAGCAAGTTGATTAGCTCAGATGTCATCCTTAGTTGGGAAATCACGGCCAAGGTTGATATATTTAAATCTCATCCACACCTGAGTTAGTGTCGACGGACCGACTGGTTTGGTTTCTCGATAGAGGTGCCTACTACTCTCTGAATACACGCAAATTTCATTAAAAATGATGACAAGGAATTGAAAACCTGCTGATTAGCCTCTGTGGATGGAAACCCGCTTCAGCCTGAAAGTGCCCAGCCGCTTGCGAAAACGCGAGGAGAACCGTGTTCTGGTAGGACGTACGTTATGACACCTCTAGAGAAGGTAGAATTTCACAGAAGTTCCCAATTTCTAATCCTCATGGGCCAACATGGTTCAAGGTACACACGTTTCAAGCTTTGGCAAGTTGGTGCAAAACTGAACGAACCTCAGAGAACGCGATGTTGAAGCTAATTCGGTGCCCATCCCTCTCAGTATCCACGAGCACTCCGTCACAGTCGAAGAGGAGCGCATCAGGCAGAGCCCGAGCTTCCGCTTTGACGACGAATCCACTCCTGGACTTGTGCACTCTGGCCTTGGAATCAGACAACGGCCTGCTGCTGCATTGTTTCAGAGCGACGAGATTTGAGGAGAAGAAGGAGGAGGCCTGGTGCGAAGAAATCGAAGCAGCAGGAGCAGCAGCGGCAGCAAGGGCAGGCTTGGATGTGCAGCCCAGCTGGACGATGGGCAGCTTGGCGGCAACGCTGGCCATGGCCATACTCTCCAACCTTGCCACACCTCCGGACAATCTGAACGAGCGCTTCCTCCTCGCTTTGCAAGAGAGATGGACTCAATTCAGCCGAAACTAGTGAGAGCGCAGGGGAGATATGCAATTTTGCTCGTCGGGCTTTGAACTTCGACAAGCAAATGGTTCCTCGTACGACACACACGAGCTTTATCGCAGCGGTTGCCCGAAGCTTTATCTGAAACCAACCGCTCACTTGTGGTCTAAGGGCCTTGAGACTGGACTGCACTTTTCCGCCTTGTGCCCTTGTCCTTTTGTCCCACACTACAAACCACAACTTTTGATGATCAGCCACTGCTTATTGGACGAGAGGATATTCTTCCATTATGGGCTCCTAACTTTCGACATGGCCCGTGTCGCAGTCAACCGGAGGTTACGTTCGAGTCTAAGGCTTTGAATCTCAGAATCCACCAGTCGCATTCTCTTCCCAGGGTGGGATTCCTCTCATAAGACTCGGAGTCTACTCGATGTTCGACCTCAACATGGAAGTAGTCTCGGGTACCATGATCTCGAGTTGCACTGCTTTCTGGACACAATCCATGTACAGTATGCGATTGTGCCTGGTTGAGCCCAACGCTCCACGCAAGGACGTGCCTGAAGATAAAACATCAAAGTTTGAAATAAATGAGTTATCTGGTTTTGCATTATATTTTCTGACAGCGGGAGACACAGGTCAATCCACCTAGTGAAGTATTTATGACACCTTACGTGCTGTGTTTTATCTTATCCAAACGACGGTGTTAGACAGTATTGGGTTGCGGTTTCATTTCAGGCTTTGACTGCCCATTCCTCAGCCCTAGTGAGCATGTCTTCAATCAGGATTCCCCAGCATACCGAGGAGATCTGCATGGCCTCTGATACTGGACACACTACTGATTCTTCAGAGTTCTGGAAGTACTCAACTTTGCAACATCAGACTTGGATAGAACAGTATTGACGTGCATCAAGCCCGTTGTGTTGTCGGAATCAAGACCAATTACGGTACTATTAGGGCTCTGTTAACAGAAAAAGTTCAGAAGCCGAGCACTGTCTAGACAAACAGTTCAAGAAACTGTGAGTACTCATTTATGTACAATAGAAAAAAAGTAAACTCTGTAGGAGATAAGACAATTTCACAGAAAGTGTTGGTTTCAAGCAAACACTTTGACTCCAATGCCTTCAAAAGCGTGCAGCGGGTAGTTCAAACCTGAACTGAAAGACATACAGGAGTTGCACGCCCAGATACTGGAATCAATGCGTTCTCATCTTCTCTTGAGATGGCTATGTGTTTTAATGGATGCAAGAATCTATAAGAAACACTGTCCATACCGCCAATTTCCGAGGGAGGGCAACTGCAGATTTGCACTAATAGGCTTCTGCCTACGAAGGCTCTGATCAAAAGCAAAACTAGCTAAAACGGAAAGACGTAGGCTGCCGTTCAGCACAATAGCAAATTGTGTTGCAAGTACTATCATCCTTCTTTAATGGTCGAACACGTGACGCCATTAAAACTCATATCCCTTTTCAATAAGAGATAGATATTAGACAGTGCGGGCAACGATTAAGTTGCAGCTTGGCTTCAGAATATCTTTCACGTCATGATTTATGTTTTGTGCTGGCAAGTGGCTTGTGGAGAAGAAAATAATTCTATCAGGTCCCATAAACCTCTGTCAAATACGAAAAGCCTGCGTCCGGCGACGGTCACAAAAGCTCATACATGTCGGAGACAGTGATGAACTTAAACTGATCAAAAATGTATGATGAAGTAATGAAATAACACGAAGAAAAACATGAAGGCCCCGTGAGTAGAAGCACCTCAACTTCAGGTATCTTCTGCTTTTATTTCTATCGTGGACAACCAGCAGTCAACAGCACGTCTTCGTAAGGGAACCATCAACAAAACCAACATCTTGGACTTGGCTTTGTAATTTCGATGAATAGTATGATTATGGTGTCAATTTCGGTGTCGGCTCTTGAATGACTTGCCAACCTAATCAACTCCATATGATTTGATCTCCACCTCTGTACACTATCTACCTCTCAGCCAGACCACGTAGTCTATGACCTTCAGGCCATGATAGCAAAATACTAAAGAGTACAGTCTATACACTATCTGTTACATGCTCTCTACAAAGGTCTAAAGAAAGGCAGAAAACTTTTGAACGATAAGACGATCTGGTCGACCTTTTCTAGAAGCCTTCGAAGATCCGTCCGTCAAGGCCTGCTTATCTTCTCTCCTTGTAACAGATTTCTAGCATGATCGCCATATAACATGGACTCTCGAATTTTGCAATCATTCTTGGTAAGTTTACCCAGAGACTGAACCTCCTCCGATTCCATATTCAACCCTGTGTTATTGTGCCATAGCCTAACAGCCAAATGAGGATCATCGTACTTGTAGCCCGTAGGTGACTGAAGTTGGGAGGGAAGGAGCAATTCCCTCGAATTTAAAAATTCTATGCTACCAGTGACCTTGAAGTAGGAAAAGGTTGCGCTGCTGCCAAAGGATTCAGTTGCACACTGAATGCCTGCTGCCAGAGGTCACTGAGAGCACTTCTCACAGGATTCATCAAGATTGCAAAGATCCTTAGCACCTTCCGTCGGTTTCGAAGAAGAGCAATCACGAGAATGGAGGTGAACGCTCCCGTTAGAAGCAACTTGCCTTCCGGCAAACCGTCAGAGTGTGAAAATAAGTGTGCCCTAATCCGCATCATCACCAGCTCTATTAACTTGCAAACTGTCCGGGCAAAAGGAAACCGTCCACAAAAGCCTGATCCCTTAGAAACAGCTCTGGAGTTGGACTGTCCAGGTCCTTTTGGACTCGACTCATCTTTTGTAGCTCCATCAGCAGCCTGAACATCTCCAAGTGAATCTTGGTCATTCCGCTTTGCACCATTCGTCTGCTCTCGAGTCCTCTGGTGAGGAGTACCAACAGGACTGGCGGTGCTGGCACAAAAACTATCTGCGCTTTGCTCCTTTTGCTTGGCCTTCGCTCGCTCTTGCTGCACGATGTGCTGAATTTTCTCAATGATGAGCGTCTTCTTATCTTCTAAAGTGTTCGTTTGGGTGATCCAAAGAAGAGCTGCTTTCGGATTCTTCAGTCCAATCACAAGGACCTCGATAGCATATATTTCTGCCAGCTGTAGAAACCCCGTCTTCGTGAGATGCAAAGAACTGGATGCCGATCCAATCTCTCGCACGACTCTCTGGCAAGTTCCAATGGGGATAACCGTCTTGGTCAAGAGACCATCTGCTCCCTTCACTGATTTCCAGTCACTCAAATACTCTTCCAGAGCAATTTTAGCTGAACCGTGAAGGCCCACAGAAAGCTGTAGGCATATCCCCGTCAGGAACAAGGAGTACGGAACTCTTGAGACGGAGTTGAAAACAGAAGTGAGAACATCAAAAATCTCGCTCGACCGGCCCAGTCCACTTAACGCCTGCAGCAACACCATCCCTGACGCTTCCACCATGGAGAGAAGCTCCCCAACATCTTCACTGTTCTTCTGTGAGTAGGATTCCGCAGATAAGCTTCTTGCTTCTGCTGATAGCCAGGCACCCTCATCGGTAATTCTCTTGGAGAGTTCACGAAGGCAAGAAGTTGACGCCTCAACTGCCTCTTGGAACATCGAACTGACCAAACAAGTTTCCGAGTAGTCGATTTCCTTCCAAATGAGATCATCACCCACCATCTTCCCCTCCGCAACACACTGAGCCAAGTCCACCTTGCTTTCTAACACCACAGAATCCTTCTCGGGGTCCATCGTGCAGCCACAATGATATGATTTGACAATCACCAAGGCGTGTGCTGTCGAATTTCTCGAATCAGAAATTACTCGAAAAAGTGCCACAGTTCATAATCTCCTCAATTCGTATCCTAACATAGAAATGGCCCCATCCCCTGTCTCCGTCCTTCGCATCACGTCCGCGAGCTGCCGACTGACGAGTAAGTGACTCAGGTCACAATCGAGGTGGATTTCTCCTAACCGTCGAGAAAAGCAGCGTGGGCAACAATCATTGAATTCTTTCTCTTACGACGGTGTAATCTTCTCCATCATCTGTCATCGTAAACACTTCACAAACGAATCACACCGCTATGAACCAATTCGACAAATATCGTTCACGAACAAATAGCAAGAATCTCGAGGTGCTACTTCAGGGAGCACGTTTGTGGGTACACAGAATCATCAAGAGCACGGCATAAGCGGTGGAGTCCACGAGACGCAAAATCCTGAAGAAAAAAAAAAAACAACATGAGCACAGAGCAACGACAGACTGTGGAAATGATTGAAACAGACAATGCTCGCAATCGAGCACCCCCGAGCTGGACGACAAATTCCTGTTGCGAGCTGTCCGTCATTCTACATCAAACCCTATCTGTTGACCGCAACTATTATAAGCAAACAATTGCGACCCGGCTTTCACTTCTCTTATCGGGGTATGAGGAAGTACACTTCTGTAACACGAGTCCACCCGGCGAAGAGCTGGACTGCTGAGCATGTAAGAGGAGGCACGGCATGGGCTTGGGCATGGGCGCAGGTTATTTTTGCTCAGTCTCGACGGATCGATGAAGCTGTGCACCATGGCAACACCGGCAGAGGGGGCTCAAGAGCAAGTAGGCGACATGGTCAGGGAGCTTAAACAACAAGCCGCAGCGGCATGACGATAAATTGGACCATTTCCTCCCAGCTGCCCGGGCCGCGTCCACGTGTCGACGAGCAAACACCTCCACTTCGGAAAAGTTCTCGCTCGAGGTATATGCGCCTGTTTATGACTCGGATCTCGATGTGATCTGGAAGACGAGAGAAGATTGAACCTTGAGCCTTATATTGCAGAACACATGGGGAGTAGACCTTCACAATGTCCATACCGATATCCCACATGACTAATTTGTTTGAAGGGCCATGCAGTTTTCTTTGTCCATATTAAAAGTGGAGAGAGAACTCACCTAAGTGCACATGGGCTACTCTGAACTCCATCTTATTTACAATTTGATAGCGATGAATTAATTATCAACGAAACAATCAAGATACTCTTTGCATTCAATTCATATTTTATATATATATATATGAACGACACTAATGGCCACATACTTCTTGGGGATTTCAAATTTCCTTTACATCAATTTTCTTCTCCATTGAGTTGAATTTAAACGTAGAGTTTCTTTCTCATATACTAACGTGTCAACCTTTGATTTTTAGATCTTGTTATACTTTCCAAATTATAGAAATAATGATATAAAGTTTATAAATTCATAATAAATGAGATTCTTGAATTAGTTTTTGCATAAATATAACATCTATCATATGATTGATATCGGTAATTAAAATCCTTCTTATCAGTATAATTAAATTGTTCAAAATATCTATCTACAAAATTTGATTTATGGAAAAAAAAAATTTGATTAACAAATGAGCAAATTTGATTAAAAAATTCACAAGCAAAATTATGTTATTACAACGTGTAACATATTATCAGTATTTAAAACAGAGTTTGTCTTATTTATAAACAATTTTGCATCTAACTTTTTAAAAGACAAACTTTTTTACATACATGTAAAGATTAAACATTGTTTTCATATATATATAAGAAAGATTTGTGCATGAATTGAGTATTTTTGATAGATGGAATTAAAACTAGATAGAAACTTTAGAGAAAAAAAATTAATTCTCTTGAATATGATAATTCTTCAATAATTGAAAAGATGAAAATATGTAAAGTTAAAATTTATTAAGAAAGAAATTAACCAAATCTGATTATATGATTATAAAATAAAATCAAAGTTGATTTGTTTCTAACTAATAAATATCCAAGTTATATTGTTCACAAAAATTGCATCTAGATACAATTGAGCAAGTTGTGGAGTTGTTATTGATTTTGTCATTGGTGTGAATTATCTTTCTCAATCTATCAACAAAAAATTTATCTATATCATTCTCTTTTTGATAAATCACAAACTAGTTTCATCGTAACATTTACTCCTTGTTTTTATTGAATTTGAAGAGGTTGTGATAAAACTGTTAGTTTTTTATTACTTGATTTGTTTTATTGACAAGTTACACATCTTTAACCATAAATTTTCACATACTTTTGTATTTTTAATCAATAGTAAACCCATTGTATGCTCTCTTATGTCTTTTTTATTTCCACATGTATTGCAATGTGATTTTTTGATAAAATTATTGTTCATAGCTTTAGTCTTGCGAAATACATAAATTTTAACACTTCAAAGCTTGAACCTTTTCTGCTTTTAGAACTTGTGGAACTCTCATGAATTTTTCATTTTACTTTCTATCATATGTCATCTTGCTCTAGCAATCTACTTGAATTTTCACTTCTTTAATATGATCAAAACATGACATGTATGTTGAAAAATGTACAAGTTTTTTCTTGCTATCCACATATGTAATCTTCAAGTTGGAGCATTAACACCAATCTATTTATTGAATTTGTTGCTTAGACGTATACTTTTGAATTTCTTCATAATCAGATGATTTATGAATGATCTCCATCACAAAATACCTAAATTCCAAAAAATGATTCTAGTATTTTGTTGCCAACATAATGATTAATCCTCTTGTTACCTTGTGTGAAAATCTTTATTTTTTTGTCATAATTTTTTGAGACAAAATAACTTGTAGATGCCATCCATACTCTCATTGTTATTGGAGTATATCACATTGTTATGCTTGATGCATCAATAGGCAACTTGATAGATCGATGAGTATCATATCATTTGAAAATATGTACATGTAACAAAACATCTTTCAAGGTTTGAAAAGCTAACTCTTGAGTTATTGTACATCTTTCTTTTTTGCCTTTGCCTAACATACGTGTCAAGCCTTGAAATGTACAAGCAAACTTTTCACAAATCTACAATAATAATGTCAATTTTTGAATAGTGCTATCTTTTTATTTATCATTTATATTCCTTCTCTTTTAACTCTATGATGCAAGTAATGTACTTTTTACTTGCCAAATTCATCTTTGAAAGTTTTGACATATAATTCTTTTTTGTCAATAATTTTTATGATCATTCAACATTTATATAAATATCAATATATCATCTAGAGAAACAATCATTCATTTGTCTAAATTGATGCAAAACATATCGTTGATCAATTTCATGAATGTAGCATGTGCATTAGTGTATCATAAGATCACACAATATATTCAAAGAGATCATATTTAATAGCAAAACAGATCATGTGAATATACTCATCTTCAATTTGTATCTAGTTGTAATCATTTTTTTATTCAATTTGATGAAGTATTTTGTTTCTTAAAATTGATCTAAAAAGTCATCAATATGAGTTAGGGTTTTGATGTATGTTTTGATCTTGCTCAAATATATACATATATTTTGAAGATTTGTATCATTTCAAGATACACATTATCTATAAATTTTACTTCAAATGTCAGTTGTTTCATTCCCATTCATTTCATTAAATTGAAAAATTCATCATTTTACTAATACATTATGTCCTGATTTTATTTGGATCTAGCAAGATCAGATGTAATCAAAATATTTAATTAAGTTTAAAAAATATCAAAGAATTATTTATTATTGTTAAAATCTACTTGTATCATATAAAATGGTAGTCAATTTTATTAAATTCAAGTAAAAAATACATGAAAATAATAATCTAGAATGGAAAAGTTATTTTTTTGAAAAAAAATTATATTTAAAATTATATTATATGATACCTGATTTTTATATTAGCATATTATGATAAAATTTGCAAAAAAATGGTCCAAAGATTCCAGCAATGTAGAAATGTGTTTTATATTATTTATATATATATTGTATTCATATAAAATACATGAAATGTTCATATCCACTATTAATCCAATTCTATGTGCATCATTGTAGTTTGCACTGTGACAACATATAATGATTTTGTAATATTTTAAATAGCAAATTACATAGATAAAAAGTGTAATAAGCATGTGGAATATTGATATGGCATCTTCAATGTGCATATTTATGATATTTTTATTAGCTTTAGATTTTTATGAAGAAGTATTTTTTCAAATTTTATATTAGAAATTTACTAAGATAAAAAAGTGAAGTTGTGAAGATGCATATGATAAATAGTTTTGCTCAATGTAATCTATTGATGACACTGTTGTATGGATTTTATGTAGCTATTATTAAGAAGTTACGTGTTATGAAAGATGGGTTAAAAAGTCAAACTTAGATCTTGAAAGCATACTATGATGTTATGACAACTTATTTCTATCCGATTTAAGATTCTTTCGTTCAGATATCACTACACAAAAAAAGTTTTAATGTAAGATATGGAAAGATGTTATTAAAAACATAATTTTTAAACTTTTGATTCAGGAAGAATCATATGAACAAATTCAATACAACTTTTAAGAATTTTTTTGGCAGATACTTAATGAGATTTGCTTATGACGATGTTGACAAGAGTTGCAACTTTAAAACTTGCTTTGCGTTTATAGAGAATTATATTTAATGTTTGGAACACAAACCGGTTTCCATATCTTCTTCAATAATTTCCAGTAAGAGAAATAAGATAAACTAGAAATAGCTTAAAAAAACAATGTGATTCATTTACGAAGAAAAATCTTTAAATAAATATTTTACGGATTGATTTGTCATATCTAGTCACTTCAAAAATAATTCAAAGCAAAAAAATTAGAAGTTATTTGACAGAGAACTTGTCTTGGAGTTGTTTCCAAACTTCAAAGGACTAAGAGTTCAAAAAAAGTTAAAATTCACGTCGGTCACAAGTGGACTCTAAATCGCAAGATGTTCTTTAGTAGTTTAGTTTACTCGGGGGTTTCATATGTATACTAGGGATAACCGAAGTTGGTATGAATAAAAAACATAAGTAAAATATTATGTAGAGCGATGTCAGTTGATCTAATCTCGTCTTGTACTAAGAAATTACTGAATTGTTTCTGTACTCTATCAAACACTGAATTGCACGTGGAATGATAGACGGTGAAAGTTTCGGTAAGTTCAGATATGAGTGTGTCGCACCGTAACCTATCGGAGATTTCATGGACCGCCTTTAGCTCTGCAGTTCTGGAATTACTTCAGAGGTAGCGAGTCCGCTTTTTTTTCCATGTTGTCACTTTAAAGTTCGGACGTAAACAGATAAGAGCTACAACCACGTCTCGTGCCAGAAATCACACAAAGTTGTGTGGTTATTGAATTGTTCAAGCTCGCGGCAGAGTCGGGAACTAGAACTCAGATGAGAAATTTTCCTACCATTTATAAGACACGTAAAGCTACAGTACATACATATAGCGTAGCACATTTGGCTGTCATAGCTATGGACACTTGAAAACAGTAAGAGTTCGCCTTGAGGTATTCCTGATCATATTACTTGTGGAGACAAAATTCCTGTGTATCTAGAGAAAATAGTACATGCCCTAATTATATGACACAAAGCTCATGTACTGTACTCACTCATCTGTAGTCTTCTTTGCTCTCGTGCTAATAATCTACCCGCACATATCTCGCATTACTTAACTGCAGAGGCCAACATTTTACTTCAAATGTGCACCCAGACCAGACCATAACCATCAGTGACCTAACCCCACCCATGCTATTCAAATTACGCCACTTGTGTTATATGTACTGACCGGTTACAGCCATTCTTGGTTGGATCTTGACAAATACTGCCCTTGGCATTACCTGTGCCCAACCATGGAAAAATAATGTCACGCAAAACCCACGGGCATGGGTGGGTTTAGGCAAGGGGATGGGCACCCAATGTTGGGCTCTGCTGAACTGCAAGCTTGTGCGAGGAAAAGAGTTTCCGTTCGTCTGGACGGGTCATTCCGGTATTACTAAATGCCAAGTTTGACCCAGAAGTCTCGAGGGTGGGGCCTTGCTGGCGTTACGTGAACGACATTGTAAAAGCTTAAGTCCCGGAGGGGCGGGTTCTCTTCACTTGTTCAGTTGTGACCCGTAATGCTCGAAATCATGGTAAGCCGGATACGCTTGTACAGCGTTTGACTTGACTCTGTAGGTCAAATTCGCGGATAGGAATGGATATCGAATGATCTTTCTAGTGGAATATATTACGCAATATACCACGTTACAAATTTGGGACATGTACGACTGCCTGAGTCATCCTAGCCTGTTTGCTTTATTACTCGGTGCCCCTTGTAATATTACATGCATACTACGTACGTGTTGGATGGTTCCTCGAGTCCGAAGACAGAAGCTCAGAAGCAAGATAAAAGAGAGCTCACAATTGACCCGATCTGAGCAGGGAAGGTCGTGCACGGGCGAGAATGAGGGTCGAGTACGAGGGTTACTGCATCCTTGCACTGAAGCCGTGTGCCCCATTATCGTGGGGAGACGTTGAAAGCATGCGAGAGGGCAGAATGTCTGACGCGTACAGGCTCAGCACGGATTGAAGTGGCACTGACACGCACGCAGCTATTCAGATCTCTCATCGACCGATCGATCGTACAGGAAGCAAGGACCTTCCAAAGTCACAAAGCAAAGCCGCTGGGCCGGGCCTTTGTCCTTCTCTTGCTTCATCGAAGCCTGTCAGAGAGAGCTGTGGACAGCGAACGACTCTGGGACCGCGACCAACGACTCCAGCGAGCACTGCGACGGCTGTGGGAGCAGTGCGCTCGTCGCGTCCCGTCGCCAGTCCCGACTGCCTACTGGAGCAAGCCCGACAGTCCCAAGGACAGAATGAGAAGCCCGAAAAAAGCTTCTGCTCTCTTCCCCGTCAGTACACACTCGCGAGTACAACGGAAGTTATGGCCGTCGTACACCACTCGAGCACGCGTTGAAAGGCTTTTTATGGTTCTTGTCACTCCATGGCGAGTGGACAGTGGCACAGAGCAACATTCAAGAGGCCGAGCGAGCGCCCAACGAGGAAGAAACTTGTGATGTCAAGCCGGCCGGCCAGCTGTCATCGAGCTGGGACTCTGAGACCCTGCGACTAGCTCAGGCTCTCAGACACCGACCCATTCATTCACTCTCTCTCCACCGAGAGGCACGAGCTCATCATTCGAAGGCAACTCCAGAGCGAGCACTGCAAGGCCTGGCGTACAGAGCGTGGCAGCTGAAAGCCGAACTCCTGCACTCGATCGAGGAATCTCCATCGCACCTGACCGTTGACCCCCAGCTTTTGAATCGCTCAGCTCATCTGCCCTTGTGAGGTGCACCCATCACCTTCCCTTCATTGGTGCGCTATGATTTTCTTGTGTTGCATGAGCTCTCCACCATGCTTTCCAGTTCGCCGCTCACTCACTCACTCCGCCCGGCGGAGCAGAGCAGAGCAGCGCAGTCCAGGTAAGAGAGGGGATGTCAAGAGGCGGCAGCGTCGTTCTGCTCCGGTGGGCAAGCGTTCTCAAACAGACGCAACTCTCATTTCTGCGACGAGTGTCGCGTCGCACCACTGCTCTGCTGCAGGACGAGGCAGCGTTTCGCTCGCTCTCTCGGCAGCCAGCCAGCCAGCCAGCCAGCCGAGGGTCCTGGTGAACTAGATTTCTGTCCGGGAAGAAGATTTTGCATGACTTCGGTGTGAGACGAGGCAGACTCGGTCCTGTACAGAGCGGTAGCCGAGCTGACGGATCCATCGTTCCCTTGCAGCAGCAGCAGCAGCAGCAGCAACCGAGGAGTCGAGGAGCAGAGGAGCAGAGGAACTGAGGCGGGAAACCAGGGACGAGATTATGGCCGCGATGAAGCTGGTCGCTGCTCTCGCGTTGGCCACTATTTTGAGTGTTCACGCTCGGGATCCCGAGCTCACCACGGACTTTTCAGTACCGCCCGGCGTCAATGCGTCCACGATCACAGGAGAGTATTTCACCTTCACGGGGCTCAGAGATTTCGCTGCGCCTCCGGGCATGTTCGGGTCCAAGAAGGTGACGCAGATAGAGTTCCCTGCGCTTACAGGGCTCGGTGTGGGCGTCACTCTGCTCGAGTACAAGCCCATGACCTTGAACCCACCGCACACTCACCCGCGCGGCACGGAGCTCCTCTACGTGCTGGCCGGAACCTTGGACGTGGGTCTTGTGGACTCTGCCAATAAGCTCTACGCCGCCACGCTCCGAAAGGGTGACTTGTTCGTCTTCCCTCAAGGCCTGGTCCACTTCCAGATCAACAAGTCCAGCAAGAAGCCTGTGCGTGCTCTGTCGGCCTTCGGTAGTTCCAATGCAGGCACAATCTCGCTACCCAGGAACCTCTTCGGCTCGGGCATCGACGACGCTGTTCTTCTCAGTGCCTTCAAAATCACCGCGGAGGAGTTGAAGGTGTTGGAGGCCCCTTTCATGCCCGTCATGTAAACTGGCAGGTGACAAGACTCGCTTCCCAGGTCACAGTTTCCACGCGCTGGTGAAATTCGGCGCCATTCTTTCAAGGGGTTTCGGGAAATCTCTCTCAGACTTTGCATAATTTCTTGCTTTGTTTCACTGCAGATTAGGCTCTGCAATGATCTCTGTTGTTTCTGCTCCGTCTGTCAGCTCTGTAACGTAACGTGATAGTGTAGAATAAGACTCAGCACACTACCTAATGGTGGGGCGCTGACGCAGACCGACTTCGAGTCTTGCGTCCTCTCGACGCTTTGTCCTCCTACAGTCAGATCGGCTGGCTCTTGTTTTTTCCTTTAGATTGGAGTGTTGTGACAAGAGTATTCTTGAATAGAGTTGGGAGCGAAGCAGAATATCACTGTATTGGCGATATCTAAGCTCCCTCCGAGAAAGGGCCATTTGTACAATGCTGAATAAGAAAACGTTTTCGTTGATCTTCTGTGATTCCTTTGAATTCTATGTGAAGCTTAACTCCCCTCTGGACTGACGTGATTAATTTGGAAGTGATTTGGACAGGATAGTTGAAGCTTGCATGGATAATTGTGAACGGGATGGGATGATCGGTGTTTGTGGTTGTGAAATGAACGAAACCATTGTTCTTGTTTCGCAGGTTGTTTGATACTACGACTGTTTGTACACCCGATCATCCTCCAGTGTGGTGGATGCAAGGCCAAAACTTTAGCCTATGTCGATGTTTCGATTTGTCCATACACCTGCGGAACAAGTTTTTGGTTCACATACTTTGGATCAGACGTGTGCACAACACGTGGAAATTTACTATCGGATATGATGGTACGATAGGTTATCGTACCAATTTACTCCGATGAAAAGTATGCAAGAATTTCTGAGCGCAAAGCATTGGACGTGCAAATCGTCACGAAGTTTTTAACCACGTACGTCAAAGTAAAATCAACCCCGAGGTCAATTTAACCACAGTCGAGAATGGTCAGGACATCGCCCGGTGGGAAAAGGCTTTGAACGATCTGAAAGAGCCACTTGTCCCCAATCTTAGAATATAACATGCTATAACCACCGGATAATCTCGAATGTGTACGTATGTACACACTCGAGAATGTAAGACTGTTGGTGCAGGAATATATTCTAGAGTGTCGAAAATCAAAATATTCAACTTTAAATTTCCAAAAAAATGAATTGCTCAACTTTCAGTTGTAAGATTGGAACATATCTTCGCTGCAGATATAATGAAATATATGTCGAGGTGAGGAAAGATAGATGCACATATTTCGCTACATGGAATTTGTCTTCAGGATGATGTGTTGTCAAAATGCTTCGCAGACCGGATTGGTGATGGAGAGTTTGAAGCTGTACAGGATTTTGTTGCACAACACCAAATCCATCTCACATTTCCGTGAGAACAATTAACAATTCAACAATCCATTGAACGGAGTTAAAAATTACATGGAGTTATCATTGTTAAGTATAATGGAAGGTGTCAAATCTTATTATCTACATATTTCTCATTGTTTATCAAACAATAAAGTCAGTTTTAAAGTTCACTTATGCATAACATGATCAAGATTTCAAATGTTCAAATTATTTTATTTGGAAGTCAGATTATCTTCAATGAGATTTAAAATTCTTGTTCACATACTTTTATAACACACCTTGCAGTGAATAATAGATTCAATTAGGAAAAATCAGAAAATGAAATCGGATTGCATATAAAATTCTAGATTAAAAAAAATTTTACAGAAAAATTTGATTCTTGTAAGATTTAAGATTTCTTGAAAGACTTTGTATACAAGTAAACACTTAGAAAAATCTAAAATTATATTACAATAAGATTCATATTCGGATTCTTAATATTTCTTTAAATTTTTTCATTATCTTTTTAATGTACATGAAAGATATCAATATCAAAATTCATTTATTTATTGTTAACATAAATGCATGCGTTTATTTGATCTTAAATCTCTCATATTTCATAGTTTTCTAAATAAATTTCATCGGAGTATAACCAGATTGGATATCGTTGGAAAACTCTCTACGCGAATAGTGCATCTGAATATTTTTTAGAGCTAAAAAATGACTCAAAAGGATACATCTTTAATAAAAGACATTTGTATTATGTGACCAATATTTTTTAATCTCTTCCATAGAACAAACGGTTGAATTATGATGATAAGCACAGATGTTATAATTATAATCAGGTCTAAATTTGCGAAACTCTATTTTCTAGTTTATATTTTATTTTTATAATTTCTAAATGAATATAATGATCAAATTTGTTTCATTTTATGTTCACATGTAAACATTTTACATACTATATACATATAAATTTATTTCGAGTTGTTTAATAATGGATATCATGTATTTTCTTGAATTTGATTTGTTACCAAATCTAGACAACACACAGTCAATTATTTTGACAACTTTTATCATTTTTTATGTGTTCAAATATATTTTTTAGTCATCTACACAAGAAAAACGTTGTGAATTGTGGATTTGTGAAGGGAACGATATAATGGTAGAAGGAAAAAGGAAATGGAGTCATCTACTTGTCATAATCTCTGGTTCAAGTATATTCAACACTAACTCCAAAAGAAATGAAGTTGTTTCCTTCAGAATCTAGATTGAAAGAGGAGAAAGTGTACATTCAGCAGATGAGAAAAAAGTTGTACTTATTTCTCGATCGAAAAAATTCTAAAATTCTTTAGAGGAGAGATAGCGTCATGACCTTAAAAAAGTTAAACAGACTATGGACTTTGTTCATCCTCACTCTAAATAAGCAAGTGAGGTAAAGTTGTAGAAATGGTACATTACAATAGTTCACTGCTTTAAGCAGACATCAACCTCTCTATAATTATCAGCAGGCATAATCGAACTTGATATTCCATTGAGTAGGGAGTCTATTTTTCAGCACTAAGGATGAACTTATACTCTTCTTTGTCTTTTCTGTCATCAACTTTCTCAAACATTTTCACTTTGAAGGAGAGTTGAGACCTTGCAATTTTACTTAGTCAATTTTTTCTTGGGGACAATCACTTTATGTCTATTAACTCTGGAGGAGATCTTTAACCAATGGAGGACCATATCCATGCTATTCTGCTTAAAGTTACTATTCGGCCTGTAAACCTGAATGCGTGTTTCAGAGTCTTTAACCCCCTGCCATGGAGTAAAGCGGAGGCGGAGTATGACACCTAGAGTTCCTACTCTGACTCTGAAAAGCTGTCAGTGTCCAACGAGCGAGAGGGCTTCGTTCTTGATGTAGCTCGTATTTATGTTTTCACAGAAATCTCTACTTAGAAGCCAATAGCTTCCAAGCCGGGACACTGCTTTCTCAGTAACTGACATCTATCTTTGTACCTATATCTACACCACTCGCGACAGATCATACTTAAAGACTCATTTTGGGCTCACGCTCACACTGGTTACCACGACCGAATACAAGCTTTCGGTAGGAGCGGAAGTGTGGTGTGACGCACTTTTAAACCCAATATGCTCAATATGAATCAAACGATAAATGGACAGTGCGAAAATGAAGAGTAGTGAAAACTCAGTGCGTTAGGCAGAGTCAAGCAATGGCCCAGACAAGCGTCCAACAAAGGCGAACAGACTTGTCCCGAAGTTACGGAGGTTCAGAGCAGAACCATTCGTAGTAGTCCCCGAGGTAGAACAGATAATGACATCAGACGAACACGGATTTGACAACGTGTCCAAGAACGTACTCAGACTATGGTGCGCACTGTCGACTTCATTGGCGCTGGATAGAGTTCACAGGCTGAAGTCCGGCTAAAATCATTGTGGTTCACTCGCGGAACTCTCTTATAGTGACCAAGAAGAGACTATCTAGTTTAAACTGAGAACTGTCAACCTCAGAAGCATTGAAATCTGAAGTCATTCAAGCTCAAACCGAAATTAATTACGTCAAAGCGAATGGTTTGTGGACGGGATGTTGGCTCGACATGGGACGCAAGTACAACAACATTCTGTATCGACAGATCCGATATGAACTTTTCGGCAAATAATAACAAATTCCAAGAAAAAGGTGGGTGAACATGAGTTTAAGCTTTAATGCATGACAATTCTGCCTGATTTACTACGTTAGTCCCGTGTAAACTACCTCATATCTTCCAATTCATATAGAGTAAGGTGGTACACTCTAAGTTGACCTCCTGTACACTATCATCCTGAATAAGTTCCTAGCGGATTGCAGTCGTTCAAGAGTAAAAAATACGTCTGTAAACTATATAATTACATAGAGCCCCAAAAACAATGATCACGAAGACGGAGCGTGATGGAGCCATGTTCTTTTTATGTGAGAAGATTTTGGGCACAGAACACATGCTCTGGTAGTATCAGTCCTTATAGTTTCCATGCGTAGTCGTTCTGGATTTCGCGGGTTTCAAGTAGAAAAGTCCGGCAGAATGTGAGTCGAACGTCAATCCCAGGGAATAAGCAGTTTTCCTTGCGCGAGTATGCAAATCAACTTGCATTTGAACGACCCATCTGTCCCTTGAGATCTGAAGGCATTTGCCATTCACCTGACGAGCATGCTAAGCCAATTCCCCAATTTGACCAAATAAAACTTTGCACATAATTAAAAAAAACCCAGACAACTTTGTTCTGAGATTACTCCACCCACTTTGGTACCTGCGGAATGAGTTACTTATGAGCCCGTAGTCGCGCGGCCCATCTCTTCTCGCAGTGCGAACACTGATTTGCCTGTTATGAAGTACTCGTATTAATACAGTCCTCAGCGTGATTTTACTGCCCGCCTCTTTTGAAAAAATGTTGAACAAAGTTACCCTCAGATCAAATCTCCTGCCAAAAATTCTTGATTAACAGGCAGCAACTACTGATCCCTGTTGCCTCGACTCCAGCACGATTGGAGTTGTTTACAAATAGTTTTCAAGTCAACAAAGTGACAGCGGCGCATCTATAAAGGAGTAAGTACCGCAAGGCAATAGCCTTGCTAGATAAAAAACTTAACTCCTAAGTAATGCCTCCTGAGGTTTGTTCCTAGCTCATCTACAATTGTGGTGATGTACGCCTTCGGCTTCTCACGATCAAAAATTTGAAACGATGCTTCATAAGTCGACTGGAAATAAATGATGATACGATCTTAAATAATCTTTGATTGATTCTACGAAGCAGGCCCTGATCCGCTGCTATTTTCTGTTCGGTTAGTCTACTTCTGGTCTATACAAGGCATAAATATAACTGATATATTTCCGGATTGCCTGCAACAAAGGTCTACCTTCGGATATCTTCTACTTGCATAATGGAAACAGCACTATCAACCTGAATTGCGGACATGAGAGGTTTGAGTACTGACCAGAGTAATCAGATCGAAGTACATGCCGCCCCATGTTGACCCGTGAGCTCCATTTGACTCCAAAACGTCGACAGCACAGACAAGGAGTCCTTTCACAGTTCCATCAGTTACGAGAAAGTTTCTCACTCTTCAGGGCCATACAAGAGTAGGAACCTTAAGTGCACCGCTTGAAAGCATTCAACTTCAAGACATCTTGTGCCAACAGTAACGGATAAAATTGCAGCCGTCACAAATTTCACAGAAGCTCCAGCTTTACTGCTTCGACAGAGCCAATCTGCGAACCGTGCGTAGTCTATTCATTGTATTCTCCAGTTGAAGCTTCAGATTCTGAAGCTCCAAAGCTCTACTAGAGCGCTCAGCAAGCCAGCCCTCCATTTTCTCTCTCTCTTCCCAGTAAATGCTTGCCTTCTCCCAGTCCCAAACTTGTTTCCACGGGCTCGATTTGGGACTGGGTTTGAGATGTTTCCTGATTTTACGTATGCCTGATCTTCTCACCCGACGAGACCTATTCTCGAAAGGGGTGTAGGCCCTACTGCCATGCTTGTCATTGCCTATGTCATGGAACTTTTGCAAAGGTAGGCCCTCGTGCACACGCTTCATAAATTCTTGCCAAAGAGGGGCAGCGTGTGAGGCCCCAGTACCCGGATGCATGCCTCCAACCGGAGCGTTGTCATCATATCCAAGCCAAACAACACATGCTAGTTCCGGAGTGAAGCCTGCAAACCAGACGTCCTTATGGTCATCAGAGGTGCCAGTTTTCCCGGCACAGGGACGCCCGAATCGAGCAGCTCGACCTGTTCCTCGCTCCACCACGGCTTGCAAGAGAGCCCGCAACTCCGCAACTGCACCCTCGTTCACCACGGTCCGTTGGTTCAGGCCCGGTGGCTTTTGTTCTTCGAGCACTCGCCCATCAGAGCTTTCCACGCGAGTGATCAAGTGAGGCTTATGGTACACTCCCCCCGAGGCAATGGTCGCATACACCGTGGCTAATTGCAGTGGTGTTACCTCACAGCCACCCAGTGACAGTGCAAGCTCATATGGCAGATATGTTTCGATTCCCAGGGCCTTTCCCATAGCGCACACTTTCCCCACGCCTACCTGGGCACACAGCCTCACAGTCGGCACATTCAGCGAGTACAGGAGTGCTTCTTCAAGCGTGACTTTGCCTCGAAACTTCAAGTCGTAATTTTGCGGCGTAAAGCCCCCGATGGTGAACGGCTCATCCATAAGCACATGAGTTCGCTTCATACCCTGAGCCAGAGCCGTCAAGTAGACAACGGGCTTGAATGTTGACCCAGGAGAGCGAAATGCCTGTGTGCCTCTGTTGAAATTACTCTCGTAGTAGTCTCTGCCACCAACTAGAACTCGAACAGCACCGCTGATGGGATCAATGGCAACCATGGCTGCTTCCATCCTTGATTTTTCTGCACACTCAATTTCTTCGTCATACTTGGCAAGGGTGGTTTGTAGATACTTTTCTGCAGTGGCAAATCTCCGCATCACGGATGCTTCAGTCATTTTTGCCGCGAGGGCTGCGGGCGATGCGTCAGGAACCTGAGGATGCTCGTCACTGGGCTTTTTCCCCTTCAGAGTTCTCGCACGCAATCTGGATTGCTCTTCAACCCTTTTGATTGTTGCCGCTACCTCTAGCTCTATTTTCTGAGCACGCTCCATGTAAAATTCTTCGAGTCTGTCGCGAGTCTTCTGCTTTCCTTGATCGGCCAGCACAATTCTCTCATCGTCATACTCCACTGCTGCATTCTCGACGACCTTTTCGGCTATAAGCTGCATTCTGAGATCCAGTGTCGTGTGAACCTGCAGTCCGCCACAGGCAACCTCAGACCATCCATACTTTTGGGTGAGCTCGTACAACACCTCGCTGACGAAATACGGAGCTTTCCAAGGCCCAGAAGTGCCCTCCTTGCTCTCGATGGCAAGAGGAAGAGGCTCGTCTAATGCGCTGGCTGCCATTGAAGGATCCAAGAACCCCGCCTCGACCATACGTCGTAAAGCCCTGGCTTGGGGCTTTCTTCCCCTGCTGGAGTCGCGGTACGGCGACAGATGCTCCGGAGCTGGAACAATCCCCGCGAGCATAGCACATTCGCCAAGTGTCAACAGAGACGGATGCTTTCCAAAATACAGAGCTGAGGCACCCTCGATTCCATACACACCATGGCCCCAGTAAATCCTCTTCAGGTATTGATGCAGGATATCCCACTTCGACATCTGCTTCTCCAAAACGAAGGCCAGCAGCATTTCTGACAGCTTCCGGGTCCATTTGCGCTCATTGCTCAAAAACACATTCTTTACCAGCTGCTGCGTGATGGTGCTCCCGCCTCCCCGTGAAGCCAGCGACAACACAGCCCGAGCAACTCCTCGAGGATCCACGCCTTGGTGCTCGAAGAATCGGCGATCTTCAGCCGCAACTACGGCCTGCCACATCCAAGACGGAATGTCCCCAGGCCGCAGCTTTGCTCCTTTCCCTAACGTACTTGGCTTCGATTCATCGTCCCGTTTCCCGCTATATCCACCTGCTGCGATGGTCGCAATCACAGCTCCATGACAGTCATAGATTACGGTCTCCAGAGGCGACTCGGCTGGCACCGGTTTGGCCGGTTCCGGAAGATCATTCACTAACCTCCTCCAGCGTTCTCGAAAGTCTGGCGGTAGAGAACATTCCAAAGCCCTCCAGAGTCCTGCCAATCCTCCAAAACATGCTGCAAGTCCGAGAGCTCCCACTGTCAGTTTGAGCCTGCCGATGTTCGATCTCGGACTCCCTTGCTCGTCTTTTCTTCCTCCACCATCGACCTTCGGTCGTACACATTCACAACTGCGACACGGCAATCCCAGGCCTCTGCTTGCCACGAACGACACGGCGTTTCCTCGTGGCGCTTTACTGCGGAGTTCTTCGAGCCCCGCTTCGTGTACGGAGGATCCATCGCACTTGGCCGGGCAGTCGAATTTCGTTCTAGTCGTCGGGCAATTCGAACTGGCACAGTGACACAGAGACATGTTCGTCGACGCTTTGAGCTCACATCCCCTGCACTCCAGTCCTCCATGATTCCCCTGGCTGCTGCTCGCGAGCCCGTATTGCCTGTGCATGTGACTCTTGACGATTTCCAGCAAGCCGAGATGGCCAAGAGCCATCTCGCCACGCACAACGAGCCTCAACGAGAAAAGTGCGAGTCCATGCTTGCAACGTCCGTCTCCCCACGAACATCAATCAATGCTCGGAAGCCCGAGACGACAAGGAAATCGTCGCAATTGTGCACAAGAGCCAAACAAGGAATCGCAGGGCCACTGAAGGACGATTACGGCTCCGGTGGTGCATCTGACCTCAAGCCGGGCCTCAAGAATTGTTTGTTTGCCTGCTTACCGAGTTTCCGACAGACGGGCTTTATCGCGCGTTATCTGGCTCAGCAGAAGGACAGCGCCCGCGGCCCGCCCTGTACGGAATCTGCGCTCTCTAACAGTCGTTCTTGGATGAGACCGGTACGGCACAACCGGTTCATGGGCTCTAGAGACCGTCGTGCATCTTTCAGTCGCCTGGTTAAATTGTTAGAGACCATCATTTGTGCCTCGGTGTCTGCACCTTGTCACGTCACCTGAGCCCGAGTGGATATCTGTAGGCCTAGAGTTTCAGTGGCTTTCTCGAGAGTGAGCACACTTACCGTACTTGGATTGACTTGTAGAACTATCGAAGTCATTCTAAAGGTTGTTCGATTATATAAACATTGTATTTAGAAACAATGTTTTTACCGAAAAACTTCATGACTTTTAGATCAATGGTCAAGCATTATTCTGAGACATGATTTTAGTAGTAGTTATTTCATAACACCGATCGATGCATTTGGAATAACTTCAAATTTAAACTTATGGACACTTTGCAGTTTTCAGGGAAGAAAATTTTTTCTCATCTTATGCATCAATACAAGAATGAGATACATTCCTAAAAGTTTGACTATAAAAATTGGACACCACTTTGTGAATAAATCTTATGAATAATCTTGGTTACTACATAAAAATAATCTCCATATGTATACTAGTATTAAGAGAGTACACTCTCAAGATCTCTATTATATTTCTTCGACTATGACAAGGTTAGAATTGGGGTTTACAGTACAAATCCCACTGTTGTTCACATGCTAGCATTTTTAGCACAATACTTGTATAAAACATTGGAAAGCATGTTGGTGTCAACATAATTTCAATGATGTTGAATCTTCTACCAGATAACCACTTCAAGTATTTCTTGAGTTTTTTTAAGTGCAAATTAATATGTATGAAGCCGCTTCATTCTTTTGGCTTTTTCACTTATATGTTCAAGCAGTGCAGCTTGCATTTATGAGCATGAAAATTGGTATAATAACTAATAGGGTTTAGCCTCCAGCTACAACAATCGCAAAAGTTGTAAATAAAAGGCTTACAGTTCTAATTTCTTCGACGTCTCCTGCCACGTACAGATTTTGTCACGTACAAAGAAGTACAGGATGTGAAAATTGCTAAACCCCGAGCCCACGAGTAGCTGCTTAAACCTCGAGAATCCGTTCGGAGTCCAGATGTTCAGCGGACACAGCCTTATACAGAAGCTAAGAGGCCGGGTTAGAAGCGCGTGGCTTTGGCCATTCCAATGGCGAAGCGGTTTCGTCAATGGAATTCTCCTGTTTTCGGTTGACAGTCAGGCATTTAAAAGGAACGACACTTTGATGCGAGGAGGGTGCTGTTTTCAGCTCGAACTTTCAATGCTGATGAGGTGATTCGTGCTCTGTACTCTGCGCGCGGCAGGCAATGAATGTATGATCGAACTGACTTTGTGGTGAATTTTTGAGAAATCAGACTTAGCTGCATCTGCGCCTTGGGAATCGATGAGAACGTTGTTGAGGTAAAGCTGGAGATTTCTTAGTGTAGTTGGTGTCGATGAAGCACCGCTGTTGTTTTCGTGAGTCTGCAATGTGAGGTTACTTGAGTTCGACGGCCACTGCATTTCTGTCCCACGTTTTGTGAAAATTGATCGCTGGCTGTAGTGTTGATTATTTTTTGTCCATTAGAGAAATCTCAGTTCGTTTAGTATCGCTATTATACATGCAATGATACATTCAAATATTTCCAAGTTTTACTTTTTAATTTCCAATGATCTACTCAACTGTTTGCATTATTTAGTTTCCTTCGTTTCGGTTTGAATCTCGTGTCTCTTGATTGTGATGACACTATCAGCGAGCATCAATATCTGCACGGTGAGGAAAGTGGATGTGATGAAAAATATTCTTGTTTCTTCGCGTGAAACGTTGTGAGCGCAGGAGCCATGAATTTCTGTGTCTGAAGCTCCAGTGAGTTTCATGCTTTTGCAGGGAAGTTTTTGAGCACCTCCATCAGTCTTCGATGAGGGAGTGGAGTGAATCTACAAGTGATCGGTTCTGCGGGATTAAGAGATCCGTTGTACGATGTTAAATATAGTTCATTGACGAGTATTAGAATATGCGCGGGCTGTCGAATCCTCGCCCAGTTGCTTTTTCTCATATTTCAATCTAAGTTGGACTTCAAATTCCTAGTGATGATGGATGAAAACGCTGGCAAATGCGATCTAGACGGCAGTCTCGTTGAGTCTACGCCCGAGTCTGTCCAGTACTGGCCATATCTAAGCTTTGAGTACTTTCCGAAACGCCAGTATCATATTCACCATGAGTTCAAGAACCCTTCTGGGAAACAGAAGACAGTAGAAAACAACTTCTTCAAGGGACTGAAATGGTAAATTACCGTCGTTTAAGAGTTCTGTCGTTTGTCTTGTGTTTGAATGTCGTGAATTCCGAAAAATGTGATTTTGATACATTATTGACTTTAGTTCGCTTGAGGACTTATGTAACATTTGCTTCTATCTAGGTCTCCAGATGGCTCGTGCTTTTTGACGAGTAGCGAAAATAATAGCCTTCACATTTTCGACCTGTAAGTATGACTACACGTTTGCTATTCGAGTCCTGTTGAAGCTTACGTCAGTACAAGGTCTGTCTCGGGCCAATTAAAGAAAGTCCACAATCTTGTCGCGATTTTCATTATATACGAAATTACCAACCCTTTATCTTTCATGCGTTCTAATCGGTTCAACTTAATCCTGCATACGTAGGCCCAGTGATGCAATTGAAGACTGTCCGGAAGTTGATATGTCCTCCTGTGAAGGTGCGTGCTCATATGTATAGCTTCACGTCTGTTGCGTAAGGATGTACATATCATAACAGTTATATGGTTAGCTTCTTTGTGATAACTACGTTGGAGAACGATGTGCTGATATTTCTGGTAGTCCTGGCTCAGCAGATTCCTTCAAGTCGTCTTTGATGGTTCAGGAAGGGGAAGCTGTGTACGATTTTTGCTGGTTTCCAGTCATGGCGGCTTCTGGTGAGTTATCCAGATTTTTCCTGATATATGCCGTTGTTGTTGACTCCGTGAGATGAAGCTAATAAATATCACGCCTGGCTTACTTTCTTGTTACCCAAGATCAGTCATCTACGTTCTATAGTAGCTTTTCCTGGTCAGATTTCCGACAAACGTTGATGATTTTCTAGCAGTTGTATCTTGCTTCTGTCTGTCATATTTGGTGTCTAACATTTATTGTCTTTTCTTACCCAGATACAAGTTCATGTGTATTTGCAACTTCATCCCGAGACCATCCAGTTCATGTTTGGGATGCGACTACCGGGAAAGTATGTCACAAGAAGGATGTCATGAATCTGCATCAGCTGGATTTAAATGCCTTGATGTGTAATCCGAAATGATTTTATTTTCTTGCAATGTGCACCTCAATTGATGATGTGGTATCCTTTGTTGGAACAGCTACGTTGCACATATAGAGCGTATGATCAAATGGATGAAATAACCGCTGCCTATTCCATTTCATTTAATCCTGCTGGAAGCAAGTAAGATTGCAAAACTCTCTATATGTATACCTCCTTGCATAGCCCCATGCAGCATTTTTTTTTCACTCGAATATTCCAGCGTGTGGATTCATATCCACACGCTGATTCTGATAGTTATCGTCTAATCAAGTTGGAAAGTTGGATATCTACGTTAAGCTGAAAGTGCCTCGTCATTGCTGGTATGACAGAAATTACGATCATAAATGGATACAAATCTTAGATGATTCTCGATTGAGAATGAAGATGGAGTTCTTTGAAGGTGTCGGTTGGATTACATTGTCGTTCTCTTATCGATATCGCTTTTGGTGGACGCAGGTTATTTTGTGGTTACAACAAGACAATCAGAATATTTGACACTTCACGTCCTGGTCGGGAATTCACGCAACACTCTACTCTCACATCTGCCAAAGACGGTCAAACAGGTGTTGCTCCATCTATCTATTGTTGTTCTACATAACGGTCATAGCTGGATCTTGAATGTTGTAAGCACAGAATGCTCGAAAGACACTTTAAGACTGTAACTGATTTCTTAAGAACAGTTTTGTTTTCATGGATTCCATATATTCTACAAGATACTGGAAATATTTATTGAGCCTCTACTTGCTAACTTTTTGCAAACTACATTCCGCAAAGTCCTAGCTTCGAAATTCCGCAAGTATCATGGTTACAGTTAAGTAGGGAGCCAAGTAAAGTTTCTTTTGAGACTTTGAAATTCTGCACCATCCTAAATATAAGATAGCGGCAACTGCAAACACATTGAATGATGTTTGGGTTCTTTCACTCCATTTGCAGGTATCATATCTTGTCTAGCCTTCAATGCTGTCAACGGAGGTCTACTGGCAGCTGGCTCGTACAATCGCACAACTGCCCTGTATGATGAAAACAGCTTAGAGCTGCTTTTTGTTCTCCATGGTCAGCAGGGTGGTGTCACACAGGTGATTGGCTCTGTTAGCAGCTCCAAACGGGTAGTGAATGCAAGTTACCCTATCTAGTTCAAGTATCTAGCCTGGCCACCGTCCTCGATAACAGGCGCTGCTGGTGAATATGATATATACTCTGATATGGAGTATGAGCTTTGTCGTGTTTGTATTGGAAAGATGTGTTGGATAAGTCTCCCTTAAAAATTTCAACTTCTTTGCAAGATAGTAGGACAGAAGGTTCCCCACGATTGAAATATTGGGGCTTCTGTCTAACAGGTTATGTTTTCCAAAGATGGAAACTTCCTTTACAGTGGAGCTCGCAAGGTACAAGTGACTGTGTGTTCTGGCTGAAGTTGACGATAATTACCTTTTGCAAAGACTGGTAGTCGTTAACGATGAATATGTATTGTTTTTGGTTTACAAGTGTTCTCCACATTTCGGAACCGAAATCTTCTGAATATGTTTTTGGTTTTCCAATGTACTCCAAGAAGGTAGTCATTTGAAATCGTTTAATAATATTTCTCACTAATATGTGGGCTGACTGATAAGGATCCTGAAATTCTTTGCTGGGATATACGCAATACAGCAGGTGTACTGTACAGGTAATGTTTTTTGCTCTTGTAATAAGCTTTCTGTGATTATTATCAATGAAGTGAAATCAAACTTTTGATATTCTGAACTCTATTGCAGCAGTTGGTAAGGATGTCTTCCAGATGTATCACCAGCAGTGCCTAATGCTCCTAATGACTCCCCTGGATTAGGATAGCCTGCTACCACTCCCCATTAGTTTGTTAACACTCTTCAGGTGGAAATGAGCAGCAACGGTTTTGTCAAAATTCTATTTACATAGCACTCCCCACACTTGAATTGAACTTGAATCTTAACTGGAGTGCTAACTTCAACACCACTTCTTAGAAATCCAGCACTCAAAGAGGTGATACCGGATTGTTAAGAAACTTCGACTAGTGTTCTTAACATTCAGATTAACAATATATATACAAAGTACATTGCTCAAACTTGAGCATGAGATCCTATCTCAAAATTCTAATTCTGAGGTGGCTGATGGCTGCTGAACCCTACTTAAGCACTGGAGTAATTTAGTAGTTACGATTGCTAAAAGTTAGCAACTAACTCTTACTATGTAACAGATAGTTAGTTTTTCACTGCTATAGACATATACTGACTGACTGTAAGATTAACACTTACAAAATTATAAACAACAGTTATAGTTGTAGGCACAGTTCCAGAATTCAGACGTAGTTGCAAGAATGTGCTATGAGTATTTACCTCAGGTTATAGATACTTGTACGCAAAGTAGCGGCCGGTGTAGATATGGTTATGACATGGTGCTGATGGTTTCCAACCGATTGTCAGTCCAAATTTGGATCATGGAATTCAGCAGGTAAAGGTGTTCGTAGAAATGTCTCTGTCCTGAAGCTGAAAAAAATTTAGAGGAGTGCTGTGTATCCGAAGATGTTTTCTATGCACTTTACCTGCATGAAACAGACGCTTAACGATGGGTGTTTGCATTTTCGTTATATCTGTTTTGGGTATGTATCATTATGTCTGTGAGAAAGGGTGATCTTGATGTCTTCATACGTTTTTAAAACCTGATGGCATTCTGAAAATAATTTCCTGAAGGAAAAGTCATATGTATTATGCGTTGTTATTCCAGACTACCACGCGTGACAGCAGACACGAATCAGCGAGTAGCATTCGACATCGAGCCATTTGGTCGTCATTTGGGAACGGGCGGACAGGTATGTCTCCATGGCGAATGTAAACAGTAATTCAATACCCTGTTTCGAATTAAACCTGTTAACGACATTGCGATACTGTCAGAAAAATCTGTAACACTTTCCTGACCTTAGACGTGATTATGGTTTCCTGCTTTTCTTTCAATAATTTGTTAAGAATTTTTGTTGAGACATTTTTCCTGTATGAACTATCGTGGATGGTCCTTAATGGCAAAATTAAATTTGTTGTGGAATATTGTTGCCTCCTTACTGCTAGCTTTGCAGAGCACTCGTAATATATTACTTGGCTGTTGGCCAGGATGGACTCGTGCACTTTTATGACCTGCAAACTGGAGATTGGGTGAATAGCTTCCAGGCTGCTTTAGGTGAGCTGAGTAATGGTCATCCATCACATCTTATTATCTGACATTGTTGGATGTCAGCATGGCAGTAGTTGTGTTCATCGTTTACAAATCCTATATCTTCCGTAAATTTTGCGGATTGAATCAGGTAGCTGATGGCATCGTAGGAGATTTTAATGCATGAGTATCATACCCTCCGTGTAATGTTATTACAAGAACTTCAAAGAAATTTAAATATTTGTGCAGACACGGTGAACAGTTTCTGCTTCCACCCATCTTTGCCACTAGCCGCTTCTGCATCAGGACATCGACGGTTTGTCGTGGACACAGAACCTGACAGTGATGATCAAGGATATACTGTTCTTCTTAAAGGTGCGAACTCCCAGTTTCTATCTAGTCTATTGATTCCTGCCTTATAGCCTACCTTTCCTGCCTATGGTGCAGTGAAGACTAAACGATGGTCAATGTCTGTCATGGCACAGAGGAAGAGAACTGTGCATCCGTGTGGCGATTCCCATGCACCTGGGTGAATTCACAGGAACAATCTACTACCGCAACTCATGGGGACGAATGCGACTATACAGTAACTGAAGCATTGAATGATAATACCTTGACCTGAGTATCATCCTGAAAGGTTTTCATTTTGTGGCCCTTACTAGGTTGCCACTCCTTGCGAGGACTAGCACGAAGTGAGGTGTGTATTGACTAAGTTGAAGTGTAGGTCTGAGCATAGCCTCCGCATGTTTCACTGTGGACCTCGAAGGGTTATAAGCTGTAGCAAGACGGTTTTGAAAGTGAGGGTTCTACTAATTAGAGCAGAAATAGAACTCAATGCTTGTTTTGCCACATGTACGTACAGACCTTCAGATTAGGTTAAACTTTTGGCCTGCAAAGGTCCGGCAACTCAATTTCAGTTGTATAGTTTTTCCCATGTAATCACAGAATCCCCTTTCGTCACCAGGCTTCACTGTTATCTTGAGTTCCAAGATTTGAACTTGGGTATTGTTGGGGTTGTTCCTTTGTTGGGGTTCTGAAATTTCACTTCGACTTTGACTAAGAACAAGTTGTTGATTTACCTACAGAAAAAATTGAACGATAGTCTCTGCAATTAAAACATTTGATCTTGAGTACGACTGCATATACATATATAAAAAAGGAAGTACAAGCTAATGGAGGCCGGAAGACTGTGAGAGGATCCATTGCCGGGGAACTGCTTCACCCATCTGTCATGATCGGATGTGTTGTCTTTTTCATGCAGTATACAATTACTAGACTGTTGATTGGTTCTTCTTCGAAAGTCAAAGAAGAACCTCCAATGCGAGCCGGGGTTGGCATTTCATCATTTCCTACTTTATTGTCTTCATCACTGATCTCCTGCAACATCGTGCCACTGATTAGTGTACTCACGTCGTATGTACCGTGGGCCACAGACATGGCCCAGGATTTGTCCGCAATCTAAGCATGTAACTTGAGTAAGACACAACCTCAATTTCCTGTACAGTATAAGGAACTTTGAGCCATTTCCTCGTCGCCTGGCAACTCATGTTTTTTTATGTACTTCTTTATATAAGTAGTTGATAATGTCTGTCTCGATGATGGTCACCTGCAAACTGGCAATAAGTTGTTGACTACACACACACTGATGCAACGTGCTGTTCAAGGACATTGGTAAGGAAGGAGTCTCTAATGAAGGATGGCATATGGACATGGACAACGGTCTATCCTTGCAGGTGCACTTGTACTACCCTGGACACACCCGCAACGGGCGTCAGACGTTGAAGGACGAACGTTTTGACGTAGCGTCTCTACTCGGCCCTTGAAGCCTCCGAGGCGTTTTTCTTCATATCCGTGCAAAACAACATCGCCTCACAGGACAACAATTGTGCGTGATGGGGCCCCTACTTGTAGTTGCCTGAGTTTTCAGGTGAAACTCCAAGACAGATCTTGGCCACCTTTGTTTTCATGACGACAATCCTGCAAGGTCTGATTCGAATGATGATAAAGAATGTTGGGAAGCGCAACTGTATTGAGGTATAAAAAATCCGTTTGGGAAAATTAAAGGTGATGTTCTCGCCTTTTTCATGACTCCAAAAGCAGGAATATGCGTCTTGTTCGAGACACATCCTACACCATGCCGTCCCAATACGAGCTCGTAGCACGCGAATGCATCACGTGAATTGCATTAATTTGCTGGCTGGTTCTGCTTGTATCTGGAGTGGTCCTGGTGGATCCTTTATTTGGCCCACAAGTCACCGCAGTCTGTGGACCTTGTCGTGGGAGCGTAATGCACTTACTTCTGGGTTAAGCAATATCAGAATCTCCGTCTTTTCGCTTTGCGTTTTATCGGTTTTGATACGGCTGAACACACGACGAAATATGTATTATGTACAAAAACTATTTCGAAGGAAGCTCGAAGTCGTGTTTTTCGGATTTTGATTTGCTTTAGTTTCACGTGGTTTACGTTTTATTGATTCTCAGAAGGCTTTATTTTTCTATTGGCTAACCCATTCCTTTACAGGTGGAGGAAAAATACCGTTTGGTACATCGAGAAGAGCTGTTGGCTAGGGTTAACTTGATGACGTTACTGTATATATAGCCATGTATTTCGTCCAGACGAGAATTCAAAGCAAGTGATTGAGCGGGTAAGTCAAATGAGAAGGGACAGAAGAGACGGTGCCTGAGAGTGCGGAAGGAATGTGGGTCGGATGGTAAGCTGGCAGGGCTTTTTCATGCCGTTGGAGAGAACCCATTTGCCCAGAAAATTGCCCAGATTATCCAGCCAGAGTTACGATACTAGTTCCTAAACAGACTTCAGTTGTAAGTTCATGGTTCGATTAAGGGCCAGATGTGTTCGGAGTCCACGGATGGTTATGAGAGGATGCAGACGCTATACTCTTGATTGGAATTCAATTTTAACTAACAGGAACATGAGAAAAACAAATACTCGATGTTCACAAAAAGGACGATAAATCCCAAGTATTCCAAGAAAGGGAAGCACACTGCAGAGAACATCAAGAATTGCTTATGAACTAGTGAATAAGTGCAGAACGGTGGTGTGATTACGTTGTGAAGACTGGAATTGTGTGCGCCAACCGGATTCACTACAGAAGCTATGTAATTTGATGTGTACGTAAAAGAGCCGAGAGTGAGAAAACCTAAAAAAGTATCACGTTGAAGAAGTTCATAAGCGAGAGTGACAACCTGCATAGATTCTCTCTATCAAGGAAGCTCTTACTAATGCCTGTATATCATGGGTGCATGGATTCATCTTTTTAAGCAACCGTAGCTACTTGAAGTTATCAACACTTGAAAGGAGCATTGGTAGCAAGAGAAATAGGATAAAATGAGATTTTCTATGTAAACATAAAGATTTTATTCTTTATTACTGGAATTGTATGGAACTTCGTCACTAGTGAGTGCATGACTGAGTTTCATCTTAGGCAACATGAAGTATTATTTTTTTCAACATATTAGACAGACTATGTGAACTATAAGTGCCTAATTTTTTATTTTGGCATGTCGTGTTTATTCAATATATCTAATGTGTTACACTTTCATGTATATTTTGATTTAGACAGCTAAATAATATCTTATGACAACAAGAAAATTTTACCAGTAGGATGTTACTGGGGTCTAACATCAACCCTACATCACTTGACTGTTCTCGTAGTTTGTGCTAACTGTTTATACATGAGGACAAGACACATGAGAAAAGAGAGACAAGAGCAATATTATATACAATATTTTATAAGAATATTTTATTTCCCCAACAAGAGGCAATACACTGCAGCGCAGCCTCAGGGCGTCCTGACGGACAAAGAATTGGGCTCTCCACCCTTGTGGCTAGAAACGAACAGAATAGGAGAGGAGCATGATTACAAGAACTAAGGACTGCAGTAACAAAGTTCAAGAGACAGCGGGAGTAGATTTTGGAACCCACAGGCGCATTACTTCGCTAGAAACAAGGCAGCTTCGAAGTTGACAAAATTCTTTCACTCATAGTGCTCATCATGTGCGAGGGTCCAAATTTCTGTTCTGCACTGTAGTCTAGCTTAGAAATCCCTTCAAAGCTTACTCAGTAGAGTATGTAACTTCGACATGGGTTATTGAGTTCTATCAGAAGCCCATCTTGTCCTGTGGCACATGTGTGAGATCCCAAAGATCGTGTCAACGTGCAATCCACTCTTGACCAAACGCTTGTTGGTTCATTACTTGGTACTCGTTCTGGAGATGAGGCTTAAAATAATTTCGAAGTCGATTTGCATGGAATCTACGTATTCCTGTCTGCGCAAGACATGAACCCCTTGTCATCAATTGATACCAATCTGTTAGGAGGAGATGACATCATAGCTTGATCAAGGGTCATCAAAGTAATATAGTAAGAAGAGTAAGATACCACCTCAAATAACGAAAGGATTAAATACCCCGTAAAGGCTTAGAATTTAATAACCCAAAGGGAAAGTAGTAGTCAACACCATCACAGTCGACTCTATTCATCATATCTACAATAATAAACACAATGGATAAAATCCATAATCCAACAAATATATTGAAATTATTTTAACATGAATTAAAAATCTTTTACATAAGATTAAATCAAAATTATCCAGGTAGCTCAGAACACATCTTAAGAATATTCGCGTGAAGAAAAACCAATGAGCATTTTTTATTATTTCTAATCAATTTCAGCACAAGTATTATCCAAAGCAATGAAAATAAATTCTATTATATGTTATAGAATAAATCTGAAATAGTGTTATCAATGAGGAATAATTTTCAAGGATATAATTTTCATTTTTAATATATTTCATCAAAAATATAAATCAAACATCACACTAATAAGCTTATCATAGACTAGCAAAAATATTTCAAAAGTTTTGTAACAGTGATGATTATTTCTTTACGATTATTTCTTTGATTTGTCAAATTTGCAAACAGTCAAATACATTAATTTTTTCAAGATGATAATATATATATATATATATATATATCACAGTTTGTCCTTATCAAACTGAAAATCTCAAAAAAGAAGTACCAGGTTAAATAAGAATGACTTTAAAATCTGAAAAGTGAATGAAAATACTGCTATGAATGCTTGAACGATGTGAGCTATATGTTTATATTTTTAGATGAAAGTTTCAAAATGAAAGAAGGAAATGAACAAAGTATGATACAATGAGATTGGAAAAAACATGTCAAATCCCCAAATAAAGAAAATCCCGTTGTACACGTGTTTCAACCTAGTTACCAATGGAGCTCAAATTGAAAGAAGGAATACAAATTTCTCATGTCCAAACTACAATTTAAATGCCATGGGCTCGAAACCTGCTCTCCCTTCTCCACCAAAGTTCCGTCTGCACCGTCGTCAATTCCAATATGGGAAGTTCAAGCAGGACGTGGATGGAACGAAAGGGACCACCAAGCTCTATCGGGCGGGCCATATAATGGTCTGAGGTCTATTCAAGACTGCAGTCCGTTCGAGAAGTTAGGGCCTCATTTGTCATTGATTGTCTTGAATCGGATCCATGCAAGATTTAAGAATGTTCTGATTCATTATTCCAGTGAATCCAAGCCCTCGATCTCGAAATTACTGCACCTTGCTCAAAGCCTGGGCACAACCCTCGGAGCGGAACTCGCCCCGGCTTCGAGGTCGGGAAATGCCCTTCAGTAAATGCAGGAACTGCAATAATTATGCGTTGGGTGGAAAATCGACATGTGAGCAGTGAGTGACCCAACTCTTTATTTACTTCGTCTGCATCCATTTTCAGGCTACTCTTTCTTCGTATCTATTTTTATATTCAGTAGGTAAGATCCAATGCGCAGAGACCACGGAGACCTCTAGAGTGGTGATCCGTGAACTCTACGGGTGCTCGCTGTATTTAGAGCATTTCCATTAGTCCGGTCACTGCGATGTGCGAGAGTGAATACGTTCGATTCACTCTTGCATGTTTGCTTTGTTCGTGGAATCGTGTCACTACATGAAAATGGAAAATAATAGTCTTCAATGGTTGGAAGAAATTCTGACTGGTCAAGGATCAAACCATGAAGCTCATACCACGTAAGTTTTAAAATTGGCGAGAGCCCAACAAGTATAGCATAGGCACTAGAGAAAGCACTAGAGAAAGCAAATGAAGATAGCTGAACCCATTAGTAAGAATGGAAGACATAAGTTATCAGATGCATGGCTCGAGTGGCTATGTAAACAGCCAGGTTGACAATGTACACGAAAACATACAGGACTGCAGGAGTGATAAGGTCTAATTTCTTGCCTCGATGGATAGGCAGACCATAGATACATTGAACCGACATATATCATCAGTGTCTATTACATAAGGCAGATTTTTCACAAATAAAATATTTGTAGGGTTTCCGATCGAACGGATTACTTCGAGGTATGAGAAGTTGCTCGGAAGACCATTATCACTGTTTGATATGAAGGAAAACCCAAAAAACGGGGAAAATCGAATCAAGATGTGCCCTGCTTCTTCGTGCTCGCGTTTCCCTTCAACGAGCCGGTTCGCTCTGCCCTACGGCTTATATTCCAAGAGTCTCGAAGTCGCGACTCCCGGGGGATGAAGAGTAACCGCTGCACAACGCATGTAACCGAAGGACGCGAGATGGATTTGCTTTCAATACTGGTGGTGGACCAGGCCTCGGAGGCTTCGTCTCGCCTGGAGACTGTCCCCCTACCTGATCAGCACATCAATCAGCCCGCACCTCTCGCCATATCTGTCCAATGATTCTGCTGATTCGAGGTCGTTGACCTATCAAGAGCGCGGTGATGTCGTGTCCAGTTTAAAGCTGCAGCCAGCTGGTTCAGCATGACTCGTACCGAGCGTACCGAGCGTACCGGTTTGCGCAGGGCGAAAAGCTCGACGGCATATTCGAGCCTGCGAAGATAGAGAGGGTGACGAAAGTGCTCCCGACCTCGGCGCAGCACCGAGGTCGGGAGCTCATTCTCGAAACGACAGAAGCTGGAACCTGAAGGACTTGACTTGCCATCATGACGCCCGCAGTGTCATATTTATGACCCCCTGACAATGGTACTCCCTCGCTCCGTTGTCGGTCTCGAAAACTGTTCTCGCGGTAGTCGCATTGCGTCGCCCAGCATTCAGAAACGAGCAGAATTCAGAAATTCGGTCGAGTCGCTGCGATCGCGCAGAGAGACCCGAAGAAAGACCGAAAATTCGGGATAACGTAAAGCCCGGAGGAGCGTTTCCCGGGAGGACGGTCGTACGACGCGGACATGGCAAGGTCGCGGCGTGCGACCCTGCGCTGGAGAGTGGGACAAGCTGACCGGGCCGGACCGGACCTGGGCGCGCCGGACCGGATCGCGGCTCGGAGCGGGGTACGGGGTACGGGGTACGAGGGAGGACGTAGGCGAAACCCTGAAGCGGCAGTGGATCCCGCGGCGCACCTCTCCCGCTCGTCCGCCGGGGGGCCGGGCTGTGGAGAGGGGGAGGGGAAGGGGAGCGCAGGGCAGGATTTATCAAAGCAGCAGCGTCGGGGCTCGGGCATCGTGCAATCGAACAAAAGAGGTTTGAATATAGAATTTTTTGTCGCGCCAGGCGGTTTGGTGGCCGCGGCCGACGAGCTCTGGTGGCGCTGAGAGTGCGGCAAGGAAATCTGCCAAGTGCGTGATCCGGGCGCAGGGAGGAGCAAGAGGTAGGACAGGCGGACAGCCCAGGAGCCAAAAGACGACTCGAGGCGAGGCGAGGCCAGACGGAGCGACGAGCCTTATGAGTTGAGAGAGGCCGATGATCGTCGTGGCTGTGATTTGAATGTGCCGTGAATAATGAAGATCCCCGAGCGTAATTGGGTTGTTCCCGATAGGTACTCCGCCCCTCCATCCCGTGTCGCATTTCGCACCGCGGTTCCAATTTTTCTCCCGGAGCATGGAGGCTGGTCTCGCGTTGCATGCTCTCTGCGTGACGCACAGCTGGTGTTCCCGCTAGCCGGCTGTCTTTGGTCGGACATTGTCTGTAGGAGAATTGCGCAATCGTCGTAGTTTGTGTCTAGTGAATCGTTATCGTTTCGTTTCAGATCCGATCAGGAAGTACACCTCAGGACATCCTGCAGAGTTTTCTGGCCACTTTATGTTGCTCTGGCGAAGTCCACCTCTTTTTCCTCGCCATTATGAGCCAAAGATTTCGCGGCGGTAATGGAGCTCTGAGAGTTGTGAGTGCATTTCCAGGCTAGTCGGCCAGCGTAATAGGCAGCAAATGCTCGTAGACAGGGTGTGGCCCGCCGGCGTTTCCGTACAAGCACCTCTACTTTTGTCTGGAGCTGTAGATGAACAAAAATCGGGTAGAGGTAGCAATCGGGTGGCATTGTCTTGGCAGTAATCTTTCCGATTTGCCTTGCTCGTGCTCAATCTAGATCTTAGGCACTGTGTTTGAATCCACTCTCCCGAGATTTGTGTAGCGCTACTTTCTCAAACTGATTTCTGCAATTTTGTAGGGTTTCAATTTCAAGCTTCCATACTCCTCAGTCGTGCGGGTGTCGTAGCCTGACGTCCTCTGTAGCCTCATTGTCCCCCACTTTGTTCCTGATTGTTTCACAGATCCAAGTCCACATTAATTTGAGCTGGTATAGTAGATTATCAAAATTCTCGTCTTTTTTTTACATTTCGTGAATTATGTGAACATCGTACAACTTCCGCTCAGCCAAGCCCGTCGTACCAAGCGTAGATCCTGAGTCGATGTCATAGGAATTGTACATTGCCTTGAACTGTTTAATTTACTGGAACAGAGCAGCATTCAAGTCGATGCTGCCAGCGTTTTGGCGGCAGGACGTCTCTACGCTGAAGCTCGGAATTGGTATCAGCACCACAGGTGTGACTTCTTCTCCCGCGGGACAGAAAGCTTTGCACGAGGACGTGCATCATGGTTCTCGGGCTGGGATCCAAAAAGAAAGGGCAGCCCGTGAAGCTTGAGTTTCTAATATTGATCCACGAGATCAAGCCTTGGAAACCAGTTCAAAGCGCGAAGACTCCGTTGGTCCTGCAGTGGCAAAGGGGCGATAAACGCTCCGGTAAATCCAAGATCGTGGTTCCCGATGAAGACGGAAGAATTGTGTTCAATGAGTCGTTTAAGCTTCCAGCGAAACTGGTTCGCGAACCTGAAGGAAAGGGCAAGAATGCTGGTGTTGTCAAATTTCAAAAAAAGACCGTTGTATTCAACCTGCTCGAAGCAACAACGGATCGACAATTGGCGCGATGTATCGTAGATCTGGGGGAGTTCGGTGATGCTGATACTGCGGTCGAAGCCAATTCGCCACTGTCGACGGGGAAGAAGGTCGTTTCAGGGGGATCGCCAAGTCTGTTTTTCAAAATTGGCCTGCATGGCAAGAAAGAAGAACCCAGGACGTCGATTTCAGCTCGCGTTAGTTTCGGCTCCAAGGCCGCTGCCACTGCCCCTGCCCCAGCCCCGGCGAAAGCCCCTGCAGTGAGTAGTAAAGCAGCCGTAGAGCCAGCTCTTGACGAAGAAACCAGGAAGTCCCTTGTAGCTGCACTAATGAGTGACGAGGACGACGACAACGATTCCATCGCCTCTTTCACTGACGACGAGGAGGATGGCACTTCGGAATCTGCACCGAAGGCAAGGGCCTCGACGTCCAAATCCGATGTAAGTGGATCTGCTGCAAAAGCTCCCTCACCTGTATCTCACCCCTCACCAGCGAGGCCTGAAGTATCGAAGGTTTCTGCACCGCCATCACATCCCCCTCCGAGTCCCAGACGAGATCCACCGAAGGTGTCTGCAGCCCCTTCGCATCCCCCGTTGAGTCCTAGACCCGAAAGAGTATCCACGCCACCCTCACATCCCCCGCCTCCAAGACCAGACGCATCCAAAGTGTCTGGACCACCATCACATCCCCCACCTGCAAGACCAGACGCGTCGAGAGCATCCGCTCCACCATCACACCCTCCACCTACTAGACCGGAGACTCCTAAAGCTTCTCCACCTAAATCAGTCGCCCAGTCTGCGAAACCTGATGTGCCCAAATCTCCTCCACCCACATCCATTCCCTCACCTGCCAGAGGAGACGCATCGAAGTCATCTCAAAGCACTCCACCCAAGCGCGATCCAGGAGAAGCACTTCGAAGTTCAGCAAGTCCAGTTGAGAAACGTGCGGATGCTTCCCGTGCCACTGGCCTTTTCTCGTCAGGAAATAGGAGTCCGGCCTCCTCGGTGGACTCTTCGAATAATGGACCCAAAGTGTCGAAAGGTTCATCGGCTGCAGCTGAGACCGGAACTAATGCGAGCAGAGTCAACAAGAGTACAAAGCTCTCAGCAGAGGAACAAGAAGAGGAACTGCGTGCTTCACTTTTCTCGTCCGACGCCGATTCTCGATCGAGTAAAAGTAGTAAAAGCTCAGTCAATGCTCCTGAACCTGCTCGTGCTCCTCTTGGCCTCTTCTCATCGGGTACCACCAATGCAGCGGGAAGAGGAGGCAGAAGCTCACCCACTCCGTCAGAAGGATCTCGCAGCCCTCTTGTCTCCAAGGACAGCAGTCGAGGCAGTTCGCCTTCAGACACGAAGGTATTAACCACAGTGCGAGAGCTCTCCTAATCATGTCCATTTTTCAATCACAAGTCCATCTGCAATGGCCACAGATTTTGTATCGAGGTACAATATCATTTCATAGGATTTTTTCACAGTATTCTGCGGATGCGTTTTAGTATCTTTCGTGGGCATGTACAGCAGTAGCTTCTTTCTGTGGAATATCGTAGAGTGTCAGCCGGATGAAGATTCGACCGCTCATATGTTTAGCCTTTAACAAATCCTCCCTGCTCGCTGCGCGTCTCTTTTGGCCCAACTCTTTTGTGGTGCAGGCAGCCAGTGAAGTAGCAGGCAGTGACATTGCAAAAGCGTCAAAAAGTGAAGTCCCCGCGGAGAAAGATCGAACGCAGAAAAGTTCTATCCCTTTGCCACCGGCCTCTGCCAAGGCTGCGGCTGCTGCGGCGGCTACTGCTTATGCTGCCAAGAACTCTTACAGAACCAGAGGGAAGTCATATGATTTTACCTTCGATAGTGGCTCCTCTGAGGATTCTTTATCTCCTAACTCGAATGGTGCAAGGTCCCCCATACAATCACCCCTTCTCAGTGCACAGTCAGGGACCTTGCATTCCAGAAGCCCGTCCTATTCCAGAACTCAGAAGACAGTGTTGCCTCAGGGTCCAGAAGTATCCATGGATGCCAAGCAACCCGTCAGTCAAAAGGAAGAAAAACGGGAGGAGAGCAAGAGCATTCCCAGCAAAGAAGAAGGTAGAAAGAGTTATGATCGCAGAGATGAGAAACCAGAAACCAGAAGATCTGTTGATCTTCGCAGGGACGACATCGGTCCAGTGAAGTCCATTCCCCCGAAAAGAGATGAGTTCATGAATGACGATGATGGAGAGGCAGTTAGTGTTCTGGGGTCAGCCAAAGCAAACTTGGCACGGGTGGAAAAAAAGGCCTTGGATGAGTTGAGGAACAAAGTTGCAAATGCAGAGGCTAAGCTTTTGGAAGCAAATCAAAGGGCCCAAGAGCAGGCCCGGCAGCTAAGTCAACAAGTGGAAAGATTAGAGGGAGAGCTTCGTGAGACTGGAGCTATGGAAGTAGCACTATACTGCGTAGTGGCAGAGCATGGAAACTCCTCACACAAGCTTCATACTCCAGCTCGAAGGTTGGCAAGGCTTTACATGCATGCAAGCAAGCAATGGAGCCCTGAAAGAAAGGCAGGCACTGCTAAAAACTGTGTGGCAGGACTTGTTACAGTTGCGAAGGCTTGTGGAACAGATGTCTCGAGGTAACTTTTTTAAACATGTCAATGTGGAGCATTTCATGTTTGGTCGCAAGGTTTATATAGGTCATCTACGGAAAGGATTCCTATTTGTCTAATCCTCCCACTAGTTCAGTCTCCAAATTGGCTAACGGGGAAAGGAACTAACTTTGTGATTTTTTACTGTTGCAAATGAGCAACTGCAGGTTAAGTTTCTGGTGGTCCAATGTGGTTGCCCTAAGAGCAGTGATTGCACAAGCCTATGACACAGGCGGACCTGATAATTCACAAGTTGGAAGCACAGATGCAACTGCGTCAACCAACAGCAATGGGAATGGCTCTGCAAGCTGGGCAAGAAAGTCGCTAACTTCGAGGAAGAGCTTTTCTCGACAGGACAGTAAGCTACTGAGTCCAAAGCCTTTACCCAGTGACTGGCAGCAACCTGGCACTTTTATAACCGCTCTTGAGAAGATTGAAGGCTGGATATACACCAAGATTATTGAAAGTCTTTGGTGGCAGGTATATACCCGGAGTGAGCGTTTTTGAGTTTGATGCTGCCCCGAAAGTTTCATTGACTGCGACACTAGACACCGAATTAGCTGACGAAAGAGTGGTTTGTTTGTTTCAAGGCAATGATTCCTCGAATGCAAAAGGGCGTCGACCCGAGTGCCCCAACAAGCCCAAGGGGACTTTCTATTCTATCGCCTGCTGCCTTGGCGGAGTTCACAAATAAAGCTAAGGAGGATTTTAACAAAATGGCTGGTGACGTGACGGGCATGTTCGTCAAGAAACACGATAGAACTGCTTCAGTCAGCCTACCAGAGCTTGGAGATGCACGCCAAGGAAACGTGTCGGTGGAGATTTGGAAAAAGGCAATGAAGGATGCTCTCTGTAGGTTGTGTCCTGTTCGTGGGGCTGGCCATGAGTGTGGATGCCTGCCGATGCTCATAAAGACGGTATGTATAAGCGCTTATGAAGTGTCTGTCCACGCCTTTTTCTTGATTTGACTGCACTAGACACGTTCCTATATACTCATGAGCTGGAGGCGCAGTTATCAGAAGGCAGTAGTCATTAATTGCGACAGAGTTCTATTGGTCATTTAAAGCAGAAGGTCTAATCTCACAGTTTGTTAATTAGGCCCTCAGTACTTTTATTGTTGTTTGTCTTGATATCCTTGCTCGGATTACATGGGCGGATGCAGTTTCCAAGCTTCTGCTGGAGACCAGAGTGACTGCAACACTTTATTTAATGGAACTAGGGTAGAGCAGGAAGTTGAATATTCCAGGCATACAATCCATTTGATATATTTGACGGTATCTTCTGGTGCTTCACATACTCACGTCATCGCAAGATGAGTACATCTAGATGGGACTGTAAGAGTTTTCCCGTTTAGAACTGCTTGGTATCTGAAGTGAGACATGTTTGGGTTCTGTATCAACGTTTGTCTCATCATCGTCCCACGTACAATTGAATTTTCGCAGGCGATTGAAGGCTGCTGTGCAAGGTTAGACGTCGCCTTGTTTAATGCCATATTGCGGGATGAAGGGGACGATGTACCCACAGATCCAATATCTGATCCAGTTAGTGATCCGAGTGTTCTCCCAATATCACCTGGTGGATTGAGCTTCGGAGGCGGCTCGCAGCTGAAGAACGTGGTACGCCTTCCCTCTTTGGCTTCTTTATTTTATTTTCAGGAGCCAGGTTATGTAATTCAGGTCAATGATATCAATTACCATACTATGCTTTCTAACGAGTGGCTCAATACAGGTGGTAACCTGGTCCACCTTCATACATGGCCTTGTTAGTCTGAAGGAGCCTACATTTGCACCGGAAGCCGAGAATGGGGACAGCAGCCCAGAGATGGATGACCCTGAGAAATTACCGAAGTTGTTCAATCTTATCAAGGCAACAGGAGATTTGCTGATGCTTCCAAAAGATTTTCTCACGGATAGAGCTTTCAGAAAAGAGGTAATGAGCTCACTATCTATTTCTCCCTTCGTTGTCAGTTATATCTTCAAAATGACATGTGTGTTCTTACAATGATATCTGGTAGGCACGAAGTTAAAATAATATATTCACTTACTTGGGAAAGCCGAGTCTAACATTGCAATTGCTGAAGATGTGGTCTCGACTTGAGACATGTTTCTCGAATTTTTGAAACTATTATCGCCTTGACCTTTTTAAATGTTTAAATAGTACAAATATGCGCAGTTCTGAGTTGTCTCAGTTTTATCAGAGTTTTTAAGTAAATTTTTTTTCCTCTGCATGAGTGAAGTAAGGACTTCTGAGGCTGTCTACTTCTACGTATGACAACGCATTTGCTTGGAAGAGGAAGAATCATCAGGACCGTTATAGTGTAGTATGTTAACTATAAAAAAGGTGCAGGCTGTGACAGATGGTTGCTATTAAGTGTATATATGGAAATGAGGATGTTAAAATTCAAAATAGTTGTCTCATGCCAACTTGAAGGCGACTTGTATAATTCTCAGACGTTATAGTTGATAGATACAATCAGATAAAACGTTTTTGACTAAAGCATGTTAACCTTATGCAAGTGACAAATGAATTGACCGAGAAGAAACGACGAGCCCAAGGACACAGAAAAATACGCGCAGAAGCTTTTGTCTTCTATTGGAGACCTTTATACACGTCACAGTAAGGACAATAGAAGTTTTGTTTCATACAAGACTTCTGACCTTAGGTTGTACTTCCAGGAAGCCAAAAGAGAGGCTGAGAAGATGGCCAGTGTGTTTAAAGTATTAAAAACCACAGGAGATATATTGCAGCTGCCTAAAGAAATGCTTATGGACAAGAGTTTGAGAAGAGAGGTACCATCTTGTAAGAAATCACCCCCCTCCCCCCATTGAAAGAATAAATGAAGCTAAGTTTTTGGTCCTTTACACCCATCAGAAACTTGTCGGGAGGATTATCAAAGAGATCAACCTCTCTAAACTTTTTTTATCCATATAATAAAATATAATGATCAAAATTTACTTTAACTGTGGCAAGTTGTGATACTGACATGCTGTGTAAGTCAGGTAATTTTCACTCGGCTCTTTATACATATATCATAGCATAAAAGGAGATAGTAAGCTTAAAAAAGGATGGAGAAGTAGTATCATACAGAGAAAGAGTTCTTGTACATCAATATAGTACCTGAAAGAAAGTATCACAGGAGGTTCCTTTCCTTACATTACCTTCAGGTTTCTAACATGGTCAGTTTCCGGATGGCTTGTAGATTTGTCCAATGCTGAGTCTTCACCTTGTCAGGAGAATCCTCGTAAACTTCGTCCCTGATGAGTTTGCTCCAGATCCCATCTCACCTTCACTTCTTGCTGCCCTCAATGCCGAGGTAAGGATGAGGAACATATTGAACTTCTTGATTTTGACGATTGGTAGCTTGCGCTTTTTTTTTTTTTTTTCTTCACGAAAATAAAGCTATTTCCTATCTGTAGAGTGAGGAGGAAGTTAAGCAGTATTTAGTAGATAAGTTTGTGAGTACCGAACAGGTTAGCGTTCTCAGGATGTGTTGTGTTGAGAATCACACATGTATATTTATCTAGTTAATATCATCATCATCTCTTTTCATACCTCCTTCATTCCAAATGTTTTAGGATGAGTAGAGCTTCTTTTCTAGAGAACTAACTGAAAGGCATCGGACATCACCAACAGGCAGCTATAGAAAGGCAAAGAAATGGTGAGGCGGATGAGTCATCTGTAGCCATGGCTACAGCACCTCCCGTTGTGTATCCAGTACCTTCTGCCTTCTACGTGTGGTCATGGATTGGTGAAGCAAACAGCAATGCAGCTACTTGGGGTCGAAGCAGTAATTCTTTGCTACGGAAAGGATACACAAGTGATGAAGATCTTGAAGTTATGGAACAACTACAGGAGAACAATGCAAGTTCCAAACTGGATGTCATATTAGGATCATCAAGGCCGAGCAGTGTATCTACCTCAAACGGGGAGCATTCTGAAGGGATCATGAAGAGTCGCCAGTCTTTTGGGGAAGAAATTGGTGCTTCTAGGCGTTTTCAATTGCTGAAGCCAGTTTGGGGTACTCAGTAACCCAAAAATTTTTGAATCGTCCCATGTGCTTGATTTTGTTTTAGGTCATGTTTGTTGTCTCACTAGTTTAAGTGTGGACCCAATTTGAAACTCGTGAAACAGAGGCAGGTTTCTGGTCTGCACTGTTTCTTCAGGGAACCAACCCTGGTCGACAACAGGGTATAGTCAACTTCACATTCTTTGTAAAACCTGGAGTGAACTTTGTAGATATGTATACATCTTTTAGTACAGTGATTCAGTTTCAGGAAGTGGATCGAGCCGGAAATTGTTAACTGGATGCTATACTGAGAATAGCAGCCTAGTCCATAAAGTTTGCAACAAGAAGCAGACCCCATCTATGATGTTCTTTAGGTATTATGAGTTGCAAGAAAAGCAAATTCATCATCTGCGGTACTCCGCAATGATCTCATATTGAGAGTTGACCCTGAATATATAGAAGGATCCCCATGTTCGAGAATGCTACTCTTTTCTTTGCATAATCTTCCTTTCGGAGTAATCTGCGAGCTTTTCATGACCTTGGTGCAGTTTTACCACATGGCAACTTTCTCATAGAGTTTTATATTAAAGAATTGATGAGGAGAATTTACTTCTCATGTGGTACTTTTATTCATGGTTTTCAGTCAAATTGCTTACTTCAGGAAACCAGGTGTAATCACTCTAATTTCTTCTTTCTTCCTTCCTTTACCTAATTTCTGGAATACTTGTTGGTATATACGTTTTTGAGTTTGAGTGTGGAGGAAGTATGGTAGCTTAACAATGTATACTGAAAGTTTGCAAAAGATTTCTAATCAAAAGAACTTGTTATAAGGGTAGATGTAACCTGCAGCAAATCCTGTACGTATGTGCGCTGTAAGTAGCGCTTCACTCGAATGTAGTGAAAGGTAATGTCTCCAAAGGCTAAGAAATACCATACAAGCTAAAATCACTAACAACTGAAAGGACCCGAAAGAGTGATCTTTTGATACATTAATTTGTAATTAATGATTTTTTAAATTTACAACTCAAATAAAAAAGAATAGAAGCAATAGAGAATTTCAATAAAGATTAGAAGATTTATACTCTATATTATAATTAGATAATTAATGATGTTTTTAGTATAAGAACTTAAATAAAAAAATTATTTATAACATAGAATAGAAGTTCTCCTTATATTATAATCAAACCTAATTTCTTCAAACTTGGAACAAGTAAGAAATCTATGCTATTGATTTTCAATATACCCATTGTTAAATAATCTATAATAATGTTCACTCGTATCAATATTAAACTAACTTATTATCTCAATTCTAAACCTGTAAATTTCAATTTTATGTCTAGCAATAATATAATGTAAGGGAAGTAAAGATTCATACAAATAGTTATTCATGTTCATAATAAAATGCTTAAAATTCACATGAAATGGATAAAACTGTACTTTGGTGTTGCGTTTACTCCAAATGATGTTTAGAAACTCTAGTGTAGACGTCCAAGAGTGCCATAGTTTGCAAGTATCAATCGCGTTTTGCCACATTACATTTCAAAAACAAGTTACTATATATGTTAACCATCATTTGGCACATGTGGCACACAAAGCTTAAAGAGTAAAGCTATTGCTCCAAATGATGTTTAGGAACTACTCGTGTAGAAGATCCTGAAGTGCCATAGTTTGCGAGTCTCTATCGCGTTCCGTCACATTCCACCTTAAAGACCAAGTTATGACATCCGCTAACCATCATTTGGTACATGTGACACGCAAAGTTTGAAGAGTAAGTTGATAAGCATCAAGATATCTTAACCTTTTGATATAAGTGATGGTCAAGTATAGAGCTTCAGCCTCTAGAAGTAAATAACCTGTCTCCACCAAGATGAATAGCATATAGAGTTTGATTTCTTACACCCAATTTTTTTTTGTAGAAATATCTTTTACACCCTCTCTACACACTTCCAACTTGTCTATTTACAACCAAGCTCCACACTTGGTTCCATATAATACTAAGTTTCTAAATACAAATTTTTTGCCGGGTAAAGTAAGCACGTGTATCAACATCTAAACCTACAGTAAACATACAATAAATCCAAGAACTCCAATACTAATCATGGCATACACCATGCCTAGATAACCGAATACGGGTTTTCTTGAAATGAGATTCCAAAACACTAAATGAGTTTTTCTACACCAATTTAACAATAAATGTAGAGTTTTGTAAACATCTTGTACTCTTTTTTTGCACACAAAGTGCCCAACTATAATCATTAAAAAAAACATACCTAAAAACATTCTAGTAAGCAATAGTAATCAATATTGTAAACAGACATGCTACAACGATATGGGGACAAAAATAACTAAACATTAAAGCAGCTCCATCTTCTCTCATCATCATCTTCTCTTCAGTTTCATGTGAAACTGAAGGAGACAAACACCCGTAAAATATATGTTACAGCGCCAAACTACATTAATGTGGTTTGTTACATTGTAACATTTTTTTCTCATTTCATCGTGTAATCATGAATCCTATCATTATTATTACACTTCTATCTCTTCATACTATTTCTCACAAGGTATACACTTCTGATCGAGTTTGTATATATCGAGGATTTAGCATTTATGACAAATCTAATTAGCTTCTCCGTTCAGTTTGGATACATTCGGGAGTAGCTAATCAATAGCTCCTTCTTGGAAGACATCAGCTGCTAATGTCTTCCAAGGAGGTCTGTAGATTGCTCCCACGACCAAAGACCAATGCCGATCACACGGACATGTGCAAGACTAGAAGGTTACGTGTTGCAGTAAAGTGATTCACATTGTAGCCTGTAGAACTAGCACTTCTTAACTACTACAACGAAATGGACGTTTTGATTTGTGATTTCTTCCACGCCATAACTATGTCATACCGTGTAGAATTCCACCTTCTTGCATGATGCAGAATCTAACGACATCCACTCCATCAGTAGCCCCTATAAGAGAAATCAGTTCCACCTCATAGAGTATATCTTCACGCCGTTGCTACTGACCTCTTCAAAATGACAGCGGAAGAATTTGGAGTGAATAAGATTATCTATCAGCTATGAACCTTCGATCGTCAAGTCATCGAATCGGCGCCTACGCTCGCTGAACACCGCAGGCTGTCGAGCACCATGGTATCTACATGCTACACAGATAGCACAATGTTACGTCCAAGTTGGATCACGCCCGGTACAGATAAGACACGGGCCTTGTGAACTGCTCTCGCTGCTCAAGTTGGTAGAGCTCGTTGATTTCGGTCCCCACGTTGTGTTTCTTCATATTTTGGAAGAATTTCCAAGTTGAGGAACCAAGTCCTGGATCAGCTTGAGGGGAATGCCGAAGCTCATCCAACAATTTACGTTTGTCCCCCTCATCTTCTGCAGGTACCCTGGGGCTTGGCTGTGCAGACACCTTGGCCTGGTCAGATCGGGTTTCTTTGTTGCGGGACTTTCGGCCTTGGTCCTCAAAAATACAAAGTATCTTAACGATCTTGGTACTGTAAATGCTCTGCACACATTTACAAACTTTCACAAGCTTATCATAGCTCTCCAAAGCCTTTCTGTTGCCGATTATGTATAATCTCTCAAGCTCGTATGTCCTCTTCTCCGGCTCTGGAATCAATTGTATCATCATCGTCACCGGCTCCTCCTCTTCTGTACCAAGTACTCTCATCTCATTCCACTTTTAACTCGTGAACTTTCTCTGAACTATATGATCTAGAGACAGCTTTCTTCAAGGTCTAAGTTTCACTAGTCACTAACCTGTTGTTAGATCGAACCTGCAGACTCACAACATCATCCCGCCGCCACCACCTCATCCCTGAGAGGATCCGGAGCTAATTATTCCCAACTGCAAAGACAATGAACTAGTCCGACCGGAGCCAAAACAACCACCAGCCTTGAGAATGCTCCACCAATGTACACACCTGCACTGCTCTACTCGTTGTTCCCTGGGTGACCACCAGATTTATGCTCATCAGTCCGGCATCAGCGTATGCAGATTGATCCGTTTATCCAGCTCGCAATCAACGAACGCGCTGTCCGCTGTCCGCTGTCCACATTCAGAAACGTTGTGTCAACGCCCACGTTGTTTGAATTTAGTTGCCGATGATGGCTGTTTGTGTCGACTGGATGGCAGCTGAACTGGCTCGTCAAGCTCGTAAAAGTCAGCGAGGAATGAAGGAGCCGAGCAATACCAAATTACATTTAAGCATACAGTGATAAGTTACACTAATAAGAACAATATGAAAGAATGTCAGAAGTTACGACGCCTGAAGAAAAAATAGAATGAAACAGTCAAATGTAGGACAACTTATGTCAACATCCCGATTTTGGAAAATGGTGAAGGTCGCTGTTAGAGGATCCCAATATACTTAGCATTTTCTCCGATAACGCCATGGCTACGTGAATAGCATCGACGCTACAAACTAGAGTATTCAATGGCTCTTCTCTCAACACTTGCTCCTCTCGATTGACAAAACTTCCTCGGAAGCCATAGCATGTGCCGTTAGAAATTCTACGTAAGCAGTTAGTAGAATGAAGCTAGCTCATGACATCATTGAGTTTTAACGAATCTCGTTCGCAGACTATACTATTGCAAAGAATAGGATATCCTAATATTTCATAAAGTCTTAAGTAAGACGCGCTACAAGCAAATCCTTCACCCCAATGGCATTATGGTGCATATATTTATATCTGCAAAGAAACTTCATGAGTTTATTTCTTCAAGATAACTTTGTGCCTACATATTACTTTATTCTTGCACATAACCCAAACATGACTCGCATCCTACAATCTCTGAATGCTAGAGACATACCATGCTTGTCTTGTATTGTATTGCATTTTGGTTAAATCTAAATATTTAACTAGACATATGAGTCTCAGTCCCAAATTCATCAGGTTATGTATTCATTAGTGCAAAATCCATACACTGTTCATCAGGAGATTGTCTTATATGATTGATAGTTTGGGTCTATCTTTTGATAGTACACGACCTAATATGTATACCAATGTCCATCACATCAACCTTATACCTTTCCATGAGTAAGACATAATTGTTTTGCCATTAGATCATGTAGCTAGAGATCCTATGGTTAACTTTAAGAAGCTTCTTTCTCTTTTTCCAAGTTGATCTTTTCAATACCCCTGCGGAAATGCATCTCATCAACATGAGATATCTTCTCATTTCAGTATATTTCAAACAGTTCATAGATTAGCTTTGCAGATGAGCCCAATGCTTTCAATGCCCACTTCAAAATAATAGGCTTACATGACTGTTTTTTTTTCAAATTATTGATTTGTGATGTTTGCAATTATTTATCATGATTACATTATGAGATACCAAATGATCAATAACTAAACTACTTTTAACATTACTTTTACACACTTGAGGTACTTATTTTTACCATGAAATTTTTTCAACATTGCAATTCAAAATGAAGATCTTAAATCAACATTACTTATCATCTAGATTATCAAATGAATTACAATGAATAAATGAAGACAATGATCTACGCCAAATAGATTTACCTTAATATGATGTTCACAATTGTAAAATGTTTTGGATAATAGAAGATCATAAATAATAAAGATATTTAGTTTTAATGTCTTTATCTGAATGGACATAATAATTTCTGAAAAAATTAGGTCAACTCCAAGTAAAATTGCTCTCCAAAGTTAACAAAATTTGCATCTCCTTGGTATAAAAATGGATTGTTTGAGCAATTGCTTGGGTATCACTGATGCCCAAGAAATCAAGAAATTCATGATGATCGAAATTTCGTGACCAGAAGCATATGGTTGCCAAAACAAAATGTAGCCTTGTAGATAATTGAAAACATCAGTACTTGATATGCCCTCGACAAAGAAGAGAGTTAGTTGAAAATATGATATTGGTTCTGAATTGACAGTTGATGGGGAAGTGGATGCAAGATATTTGAAAACAGTGCGGAGTATACATGAGTAAAAATATTTTTAAATAAAATAGTTCTACGTTAATCGAATCATAATTGAATCGCTGAGGAAAGACATGAACTTGACTGACGGAACACATCGTTTACGGATGCCGATCCCTCGGGGATCTGCCCTACGCGTAGGGGACGTAATGCCCGTTCGCGCGTTCTCATCTTGTATCAATCCGACGACTTAGCCGCACAAACTTATACATAGGCACTATATAGGGCCTTCATAGACCTGAGCAAGTGTCATCGTGCAAGTTATTTTTTCGCTGTTAGTCTACTCTTTTCGATCCAAGATGGAAGGATGTCCGGGTAGGCTAACCGGGCAGCTTCCTGATTTGGAAGTTGTGGGGGTTTTTTTCTCGACCACCAAGAAGTCATTGTGCACGGTGTCACAGTAGAGAACGCATAGTAGAATTAAACTGTTCAGCTTACAAAAGTTTCTTATATATACATTATGATATATGTGATGTATATGATACTTTAGCTCTCCCATTAGCAGGGATAGTTCAGTTAGGAGAGTTATCCCTGCTGACTTGAAGGTATCGTGTATGTGGCATCGCCACGTGGCTTTCTCTTGGCACCTACATCTATGTTACCATCTGAAGAACGAGTTCTCCTATCTGTAATAACAGCAACCCAACTGCATATATTATCATTTTGATACAACATATTTCAGTCAAAGGAAAGGGTCAAAGAAAATGCTTGGGAAACGACATCTTACTTGGACGTTTCCGCCGTGATCACGTTTTTGGTCCTTTGCATTGATCTTTTGCATGAGATGTCGCTTTTGCAAGATGTTCAATCTTTTTCCACCAACTGATGGCAGCAACGGCCCATTTTGTTGACCCTTTGTTGTCAAGTGTGCTGACATGGATCTTATATGAACCGTCAAGTTCGTCGGCCGTATATTTAGCTACCCACTTCAAGAGAATGTTTTGTTTTTTTGCATCCATCCTCTTGACTTCAGCCTTTGCTCCATATTTTTCAATCTCCAGCGATATATCTACAGACATAAAAATTGATCTACTATCGGCTGGATGAGGAAGAGAGCACATCGGCATTTGTTGCTAATCCCTTGACTTGAGATTGGACGTTTCTCCCGGGTTTTCTAAATGTCTTTCACTACTTATGTATATTCAAGAAGCAGTGTTGATGTGGTAAGAACAACATTGTTATTGTAAATGCAGAGTGGTATACTGCTGGATCTCTGAGAATTATCACTTGATTCTCGTGCAAGAACATGGCTTTGTGAAGAATCTTTTGAAAGAAGAGAGAATGGTCGGCATTATTAGGCCAGGTCTTTCAATACTATGTCACCTGCCATATAATTAAGAAGTAGAGACTCGCTCAGTTCATCATAGTTTCTCCATATTATTTTTGAAGATACTTCTTCTAAGATGGATGAAGAATAAGGAGCATATTGTTTACTGAAAGAATATACGTTCCAAACTTGTCGAGTAATATATAGATTCACTGAAACTACTAGTGACTTTGTAAAAAACACAATTAAACTTTCAAAGGAGAGATAGCTAAGAGGATGCACAGATGTCAACAGATTGTCGTTGAGATTGAGCTCCGTGAGTCCACATAATTCTGAACTTTCAAACACTTTCCCACAACTTCTGGCCTCTGCATGGAGAGATCAAGTAGCTATGCGGATCAGATATGCAATTAAATGGTAGCAAGACGAAATCAAAATCAAAATCCTTGAACATGTCCCGAGTAAGTCGTCTAAAATACTTGTTGTGAAACTGTGTTAGTTCATTGCTTTCCACATTCCTTACATCCAAAACTTAAAAAAAAGCATCACGGATTCAAATTCGATAGAAAATTCAGATGGAAAATCTTGATGGCATCAAACTTTACATGATTGTGATTTTGGGACTGCAGATAGAGATGACATTTTTTTACTCTGAAAACTTATCAGAACTTTCAGAATAGTGTTATCACCACCGTCTTCTCTGCATCGCAGATTCACCTGTCAAACGAAAGCGCTTCAAATTTAAATTTGAAGCTGTCCGAACTCTCTCGGGTGCTAATGCGGACGAGAGGGCCTTCAGAAAGCAGTGTCGGAATATTCACCTACGGATTGAACCTCCGACATCACCTTCAGAAAAAAATTTCCGGCCGTTTGATTTGAGCACAAATTAATTTTTGGCCTTTTATATAAGCTTCATAGTTTTCATATGCCAGTCTAAGATTTCTTTCATAGCATTACAAATATAGTAGTATGCAATCTGCGCAAAAGTATAAAAGCTCAACTTATGAAATAATAAGTTTTGTTCCTATAGTCAAAATATCAACAACTTTATGACCATATGAAATATCATCAATTTTGATTTCATACCCACCTTTGTCTTTACAAAAAATTTTACTTACTTTTCCCGTAATTGAAGTATTTTAAACAGTAATACTACTTCTACTTTCATCAAGATAAATTTGTCTTCTTTCTCCATTACCACAAACATAAATTGGATATTTTAAAAAATGAGACTTTGTTAGTAGCTGGATCCAAACAAAGAATTGGAAAAACCATTTCACTAAATTTTTGCCTTGGAATTAAACCTAGTACTAAAATATTTTTCTTATCATTACTATAAGGTTGAAAAAAAAATTAACTATTTTTTCTTTCATTTCAGGAGCAATTGGATCAAAAGGAGCTAATTCAAAACCTTCTGGTAAGATTAAAACCTGTTCCAACATTTAAAGAACATTTTTTACTATTAGCAAGTACTTCTTTTATTTGCATATCATAAGGATATCAAAATTACAGTTTAGACTAAAGAAGGTGTGGTATTGAAACAGAGTTAGCATTTGAGTTTTGGGAGTGTAGTGCGCAGAGCTATATGAAGATGCTCTCAACAATTTATGCATTCACACTTCAGGAAGACCGGATAGCATCTTTGCAAAGGGGATAATTGTTACTCTTGAGTATCTAGCTATCCAAACTTTTGTTGTTGTATCTATTCTATCATACAATAAAAGCAAATGTAA